TTTGATTATATTACAACTATACCTATATCAATATCAATACCTTTTAGTGTAAAAGGTATTGGTATATATATAAATAGTATTCTTATCTCTATACTTAAAGATTATATTATAGAGAGTAATAGCATTTTCTTTTGAAGAATTACTGATATTAACTCTGAATGGGATTTCCTTTTTCTATGGGGAAAAGTTGAAATGAATAATCTTTTCCAATAAGAAAGGATCAAAATCCTTATTTATTGATTCTCTGATTTTATCGAGTTGAGTTGGCTTGTATGGTTTTCTTTGAGGAGTAGGGATCACCTCCAAATCAGTTTGATATTGAGCTAATATTCTTTTTTCGATATTGATTAGATAATTTAACAAAAGTTTGGTTAAACGGAATACATATTTCCTGATATTTGAATCTAATCTGATATTTGAAAGACTTAAAGCTGTTTTTACCTCTATTGAAAGGATTGGGGCTGTTTTGAATACTTCTAATATTTTACAAAGAACTAGGTTTTGAAATGATTGTATTATATTCTTGAAATAGGTTTGACCCTTTTACCAAATGATTGATCTGTAATCTACTATACTAGTAACGTATACCATATACAATTATCTTAAGGCTTTAGGACTAAGGCCTTTCTTGATATTTGCTAATCTAGCTATTTGATAAAAGGTTCCTTTGACTTGAGTGATTCGGATATTAATATGTTGATTGAATTTAAGATTTGGATTAAACCATATTCCCAACCATCTGATTAGTGTTTGAGGCTTAATTGTTTCAGAATTAGGTAATATGATTGAATGTTCTTTTGCTGATTTAGATGCTGAGAAATGTATTAGTTCCGTTTTTGCTAAATCGAATTGAATAGCATTCTTTGCGTTTAATTCATAGATTTGATATATTGCTTTTTCCAAGGATTTAATATTCTTTTTCCAAATAGATGAATTTGTAATTAAAGCAATATCATCTATATAGGAGAGGAATTTTACTGAATTGGTGTGACGGAACAGACGGCTCTCTTCCGCCCACTGGCTCATACTACATACATAGTATGATATGACGGCTCTTTTGGACCTTCCTTTCACAGCTTAGAGCCCTAGCTCTATAGCTCTAGACCTAGGCATCTTACGCCTAGGACTCTTTCACCCTTTTTGGCCTAGCCCTTATGGCTCCCAATACCTGTATATATAGTCCTCCTTTTAGCATCCTACATAGCTCTTCACTTGTAGATTCTAAGTACACAATCGGAGTCCTGTTTATACCCTTTTGGTCACACTTTACTTTTAAATAAAAATATAATTTATCTAGACTCTATAATTCTACTCTATAAGCATTCTATCTACTCTGTAAATAGTTATACTTGAAACAATAATAACTTCTTTTTCTTTAATAACTAAATTAATTAGTATATAAATTTTGTAATCGGAATAATACTCTTTTTTTTTCTTGTAATCAGATTAGTATATAAATTTGTAATCAGAATAGTATCAATTCTGTTTCTGAGACTAGATTAATATATTTTATTTTGCAACCAGAATAACACAAAAGACTTAATCTGAAATAGCATATATTACACCTCGATTAGCACTTAGGTTATTTCGGGTATCAAAGTTCAAAATGATGCTATTTGAGGTATTTACCGTAGGTGAAATAATAATACAAATCAAGCCAATCAAAACATCCAACTACTCATCCTCTTTCCTCGCGAAAAAAATCAAAAACAGAGTCCACCAGAACCCAACAAGAGAGGTCCGAATGCCATAAAAACAAATGCAAGTACCATCACCCGCGCTCCCAAATGCCAAACAAGTTCATCTGGATATTTCCATGCCTTTTTACCATAACATCATTGCCAGGTGGTTCCATCAAGATATAAGGAGAAAGGCATGTATATCCATGTGCGTGTGCCAATAATTGTCGATGTCATACCCGTGGAAGAACTTTCAATCCTGATAAGAGGAAGAATTTACTCGCAGTTAGACCACCACGGACCGTGTTCAACACACTTAAAGCCAGATGCACACTTAGTTGCTCCGGTGTATCCTTCACCACCACATTGGCTCCATTGTGCGATAGTGCCGGAAGAGGAGGTGGAAGTAGCGGTTGAGACGGCGGACGTAACACTGGTTTGGCCTCCTGCAACCTTGGTAGAAGAAGATGCGGTGGTGGTGATGGTAGCGATTGCCTTGGATGAGGTGAAGGTAGATTTGATTTGGGTGGTAAGGGTGGATGGGACAGCAGTGCTGGAAGGCTTGGCAGAGGTGATAGAGGCCTTGGCGGGGGTTCCTCCGAGTGCCTTGTTAATGTTGGCGAGGTAACCAGAGTTTCCAATCAAAGTGACCATATCCCAAGCCATGACACCACCAAAGCTCTTAAAGGTCTTGGAGTAAGTGATGATATCAGCAAGAGTGGCTTGGTCAATATATCCTGTAGTGGCTGCGCTGGTACTACCTGGGATACCAACGAAAACCTTGACGTTCTTGTTCTTGGAAGTGGTTGAGGCCCATGTATCCCAGGTGGCCATGTTGAAGGCGGTTTGAGTAGCGCTTCCTTTCACAAATTTGTCGAGACCACAGTTGTTGTTGTAAAATTGAACGAAGACCGCGTCGAAAGAAACTGCACCTTGAAGGAATGACTTGTCGGCTTGATCAGGGTAAGGGCATTGTGGGGCAGCAGTCAAATAGTACTTCTTGCTGGTCTCAGCATCCGAAAGAGTGCGGAGCTCTTGAGCGAAGACGTCCAAGTTGGTAAGACCTTGGGTTTCGATATCAAAATCGAAACCATCGACGACGGCATCACCGAATGGTCGAGTTGTTGAGGATGAGGTCTCAGGACCGAAGGCAGCCCAGACATTCTTAGCAGCAGTAGTGGCGGCACCAGAGCTTGCCAGTTCGTTCTCGGTGTAAGTAGCTCCTCCAATGGAGAGAAGTATAGTCTTGCCCATGCCTTGACAAGTGACGATATCCTTTCCGACTTGGGTAGGATCAGCGTTTCCGACATTGATAGTCAATTTGTTGACGGAGATCAAGAAGGCGATAGGAATAATGTCGAAAGCAGCATCTGTCAGTAGTTGTTAGTACGTTGCCTCATCTCTTCGCCAATACAGATGAGGGAAAAGTCTTACTTGAGCAGTATGATGCGAGCGTTCCTTGGTTGGGACCTTGGCCCCAGTAGATAGCAACATTGCTAGAGGCGGTGGTGCCGAAACCAGCAAAGGCAGATGGAAGAGATGCAAGCATGCTTGCGAACCCGATGACACTTTTTGTTGAGTACATGATGAAATGAAGTAGAAAAAACAATGACAAATTTCAAATGAAGGTATCAAGGAGAGTAATGGATAAAAAACTCGAAAAGGAAAAAATGAATGTGAGTAGGAAATGAATGTGAGTAGTTGTTGATGATGGTTCTTTAGCTTCCAGGTCGGGAGAGCATACTTATATTCATTTCATTTTGAGACCGGTGAGATGATTCCACATCTGGAGAATCTCAAAAGTCTCCCGTCTCCAAGCAACTCATTTGCCATGAATAGATCATGATGAGTTTCGCATTCTTGGAGCAGGTGCTGGTTGCAGTGGGATCAAGTCTAAGATGAAGCTCAAATCCTATGCCAAGCGATTCCAGTCATGACTTACAAGCCAAAATTCCTTCAGGGTCAATATCTGGATTGAGTAGTTGAGTATGACAGTGAGCCGGCTTCCTGGTGGAATAAATTTCCATCATGCATAGGCTCTAAGACAAGTCTGCTGTGGGATCGTAGAATATATGTTTTGGAGTTGAGAGATTTGAAGCTCTCGAAGGATTTAACGTTCGTCAATATCTGAGGACTCGATGAGATCCGGGGGCAAAAACTTTGTCAGCAACACTTTTTTAGCCCTGATGTACTGCTTTTTAGCATAATCTAGAGGAACCCGTGTACCTGGTATGAAATAAATCACGCCGATTCTACCAGCAAGTTTTGGTATTGATGATTGCGCATTCTTGTTGCGTTTTTGCACGTATGCGACACTTGTCACGCAAGTATCTCCAGTCACAACAATTCTGCGTCTAACCGTTCCTCCGAGACAAGATCGCAGCTACACATCTTCCATAGTTAAACGGTATAGCCGCAAGTGGAGTCCCCCGCGAGAGCATTTCGAATTATGTACTGACAACTCTTCGGTATGTTCAAATAGGTGTTGGTAGCGATATTTTTAAAAATCACCCATAAATAGGTACTTACTCCTCACTCAGGAATCTCTTCATTATGGTATCAAATCTTGTGGAGGGAGCGGCTCAAGTATACATACGTGTGTAGCTTTAAGGCACGATCGTGGCCATGACCTAAATGAAGACCAACAGCCTGGTCTAGAGCAGTTGTACCAATCACGATCGTGTAACCTTTTGTTAATTGGAAGTACGATCCTCATTGGGAGTGAGAGTCAACAAAGTCAAAAGCTTATTGTAACGTTGCCAGGTTCCTGTCATCAGTTTGAAATTAAGGACTCGGGTGGTACTGCGGCGAAGTGCAATCTAGATCATATTTCTTTTCATATGCACCCCAAAGAAAGTGCGTCTGTAGAATCAGTGACAGTGATCCTCATCTCGAAATCATCGCGTTTGATGCGTGTATTTCTACAATAGGGATACCCGTATGTGATGTTGAAGACAATTCGCACATGTTAGGTCACACAAACATTATTCAGTTTGGGTCTTCCCTGCTTACATAATGACTCAGGTCAGGTACACAAGGTCCCTGAAGCTAAACCCCTTTAAACTTTCGTGTAAAAACGACTCAGCAGTGAAGGAGGATTGAAGTTTTGCATGTTCCATATGGAACGATGATTAGAAGATTATACCGTTTGCTGACTAGAGCAAGGATCCCCCCCCCCCTTCTTGATTTGTCTATGAGGGTATATAATGAATAAGTCCCTCTCCGTCTATTCTTAAATTTAAACTTCTGACCACATTCCCAATACTGTTTTCTTGTAAATATTCCTCCTTCATTTCGATACATTTCAGATGATGAAGGGGATGCAATGTCACGATGTCACTCGGAAGTAATCCGTCTAATGTCATATGGCCAGTGGACAAGTTTTGGAGGAATGTACGAGAAGTAACCATCCCATTCCTCTTTTATTGAAATAATCTGTTTGTAAATCCAATCGCAATCCCATCTTGATTCTACATTTACGCATTCTATTCGACATTTGATATTTGATACCGGCATTTTGGTAAAGGCTTGAGGTTGCAGCAAGATTATGGCAAAGCAACTCAAGCTCTCCAATCTGACGCAATTTGCCTGTCTCTCGTAAGCATCGTTTCCTTTTAAGTGAACACTCAAATCTTTCATGATAGTCGTCGCGACACTCGATGATTCTCTTTTACTTCAATTTACTTAATAAGTACAAGTAGGCATTGGGGATATGCAAACTCGGCTCGGAACATGTCCCAAATTCACTGAAATAGCTTTGATCGGCTTCTTATAAATATCAGTACCAGTTGACATCTATTTACCGTACAGAGAAGGTCATGTATCAAATTGCTCACCCACAATTCTTAGCATGAACCCCTTTAATGCAAACCTCGGCCAGCAATAGTTTGGAATTTTAGTGACTATCTTGCAAGGTGTGGATCCATGTTTACAACAATGGAGGTGGTGTTTTTGGAAGCTGGGTGTCCTGTAATACAAGTGTTTGAAGTACAATTACTTGCTTGTTATTGCCATAGATACATCACCATGAGAAGTATCTTGGAAGCTGCTAGCTTCAGCCTGATTATATGGTCAGTGAGCTTCAATGTAGTTGCACCTGTTTGTATTATCTGAGCATCATTGATCATTGTGGCGAAAAAGTCTTGACGGCTCAAAATGAAGTTCTCAACCAAATATCATGATTTTCATCAGAACCGCTCTTTCCCACTATGCATGTTTATCATGAAAAACAAGTTCAGCGTACTTGCCAAATCTAGATGTCGGAGAAGCATTTGAGATGTGAGTTGTTCCCCACCTTTACATCTACAACCACAACGATACAGAATCAAAATCATCCTATCAATCCAGAACATTGCTTCACTTGTTTTGACTTACATCTTTTCAAATCATGTCTATCCGAAGAACCCTCAACACATCATCGAGCCTCGCAGTTTCCGAGAAGGTTTTTGACGGTGACTCGACACCTAACCTCACTGATAGTGAGGATGATTATTTGAGCGATGGCACAATTGATCGAGAATTGATGGCCAAAGATCTTCCCAAGTACTACCCACCCGATAGTATCCCCAAGCCTATTGCATAGAAGTTAATTATAAATGAGATAGAGTAACAAAGTTTGATTTCGTGCTCCTCGACGTTTTCACTCGAACTCCCGGAAAGGGTCGCCGGATTGCAATAATTGTTCTCGATGGGGAGACAGGACAATTCCTTTTACCTTTCGAGAGGAAAATGTTAGTCACACAATACGATTGCCCGGCCATGGTTCTATATTCAAGGAGCGATGGAAAGTCTCAGTTCTATATCGAGCATCAATGCAAAAACGATATGAAAACTGATTGGGAGCCGTTCGAGACATCGCATGGCGTGCTTGCGCTGAATTACCTTCTCGACTTGACAGATGCACAGTTCAATGATCGAAAAGAAGGGCAATTTATTAGGACATTCCTAGATGGTGCTGAAGACTTTGCAGGTATAAATTATCATAAACAGCATTATGTTCACTTGGAAGAACGATCAGAAGATGATTGGTTTGAAATCATGCCGTTTCGTGCCGGATGCGATACGGCGCTAGAGGATAGAACTATGCAATATAGGACCGTGAACCTTCCGCCAACGATTATAGATAAAGCTGGCTTCGCAGGCGAGATAATCAAAGATATTTCAAAGGCACCGGTTTTCGTTCATCAATTTGGTGCCATTGGGTTCACTTTCGTCAATCTGTATACAACCTACAATTTCAACCACATTACAACTGGAATTCCAGACTTTTTGGTGAAGGAAATTCTAGCCAAGTCATCATCACGCCATGAGGATGCTTTTATTGGAAATAATGCCGGTACGGTGTTCTTTCATATCTCACCGAGGTTGTGTGTCGAAACATGCCAAAATAAACATAACTTTGAGGTATATGATCTTTACCAAATATATGCCAAAATCGTTGCGCCTTTCCCCGACAGCCCGGCTACTGGAAGTGCGGCAACTACACTAGCAGCCTACCTTGCGTTGTATCTATCTGATTATGATATCCGATATCGCGAAAGTCATGAAAGGGAGTTGGATATTGGCGATCACAGAATAACGAGATTCATGATGCACCTGGATACCGCCAACACTAGTAAAAATCAAGGAAGCCGGGTTGAAATTGTGGTGGAGACAGAGGTTGACAGCCTCTTGAGAACCAAGATTTCTGAACTTAGGTTCGGAGCTCCAATTGCACTGGTGCAACAAAAGTCAATGGAGACCGTGCGTGAGTGTCTGAACGTGAAATCCAACATATGGCATGCCGCAATCAGACCGCTCGAAGCCAATAACGAAGCTAGCGACGAAGGTAGTGATCAAACCAAAGATAAGAGAAAAGATGAGGAACCCGCAAGCAGAGGAGAAGCCATAGCTGTAGAAGAAAAGTTCCCAAGTCTTGACGATGTCAAAGTCGAGGATATTTCTAAAGGAAAAATGGAAGACGAAAGGTCTGCAAGCGAAGGAAAAGCCATGGTTGTAGAGGAAAAGTTCCCAAGTCTTGACGATGTCAAAATTGAAGTCGAGGATATTGCTAAAGAGAAAAGGGAAAACGAGAGATCTGCAAGCATAAATGATGCCATGGCGGAGAAAGGAAAGTCTCCAAGTCTTGACGATGCCATCACGGGAGTGCTCAGTGGGGAAGGTCTGGGGTGCCTGCTACCATTAAGCAAGAAGGAAAGAAAGTACCTGGCTCGTTTATTTAAGGAAGGCTTGGAACCTTGAGTAAAAGATCAAAAGACGTGGCAAACGTTGTATGTCTTATCATTGTGTTTCGATGACCGAGTCTCAAACAAGGTGTACTTAGCATCACATATTGAAAAGCATTGTAAAAGATCGTTCGATTTTGCAAATCGATATCCAGGTTCAAACATTGAAGAGTACCAGGAGACCTCACCAAGGCTATGGCGCATATGCATTGTTGAACATTGAAAAGCGAAATAATGAAATTGAAGCCCTGTGTTTTTGAGACGTATTCTCTGAGAAATCCTGCTATGGAATTGAATTATAAATCTAACCGGAGAAGATCAATTCGCGCGCATGGCTTTAGTGGTGTTTGCGAATTCTATATCGAAATGTCATCCAGTAATGTTACCATTGGCATCATTCGCGTTGTTTGTCAATGTACTGAGGGGTTGGATGGAGGGGCACTGCGATAGAACGGATCGCGTCCTTGCCCGCATATCTTCTGTGGGCTTTTCAAAGGTCTACTCATCTTGACTCTTGAGTGATTGTCGCGGATCAATTTTGCGGAGATAGATTCTGATTCATAGTGTGTAAATGCTGTTTTATTTGCTGCGCACAATGCGATGATGTGATTAGTCATCACGAGAATCCAGCCTCGGTTTTGATCTTGGGTGGTTTTGTCCCACTGTCCATCTAACTGCGTCGATGCTTCAGTACGAGTAACTGACAGATTATCCTTCAAATCCCATCAGTCTCCAAAGAAGACATTCAAAACAATTGACCTAATTATCTTGCAAGGCCCATGTAAGACTAGAATAGAGCACCAACAATAGGGTAGGCAACCGACGCGCTCGAAGTCAGAACACTACACCTACACAAAACAAGTCTTCCTAACTTTTCCCAAATATGCAAAGGAAGACAAGAGTGAATCGAGCGGTAAAACTGAACCCCTTGCTTGAATCAGATGCGAGGACAACAGAAAAAGTACATACAACCAACCCACCATCGGCGATTCTGATTCATAGAATGCGCAAAGAAAGAATGGCCCAGTCAAGAGGGGGTAGGTAGCATGAGGAATAAATACTAAAGGAATGCAAAAGATTATGCAACTGCCGTGAATCGAACACGAACCTCCACCTCGCTCCACCGTTGAACGGCTATATGGAAGGGTGGAATCCTAACCATTGGACCACAGAAGCGTGATATATCGAAGTCGATATTTGCTTGGTTTGATGAAATGAGGTGGTTCTGGGCTACTTTTAACTTAGGAAAATTCCTGAACAGAATTCTCCAAGGGAGAGAAGTGATTGGTTGTTGATGCGAACCACAGCAGCCATGTGGGTATCACAAAGGAACGGGAGTGGGCAATTCACATGTGGAGTACTCTAGCGGGCCAAGAAACATGGATTGATTAGCTTTCAGCCAGTGGGGGATATTCAGGGTTTCTGGTCTATCTAACTATCTAACCATTCTACTCGAGTATAAGAATACTGATATCTAGATCTAGCTCGTCCTCCTAGTCCAAATTCTTTTTCCGATCTTCATTTGATAATGATTGCTCTCCAATTCAATATATCTAGCCGTTATCTAGTTCATCTCCTCTGGGAACTTGATATCAACTAACCCCAATTCTCCAAGTAATTAGTGGTATCTTATCATATGTTTGAAGGCTCTAGTCTATCTAATCATTGATAGATATCATAAATAACATTATATCGATTAATATCGACTAAGATTCTTGACTTTTACCGTCCAAACCTCCTTAACGCTCAGCAATAGTTTTTTTTATCTAATATCGTCTGACTCAGCTCTAACATCATCGTCCAAGATACTCATACTTTCTCACATCAACCCCGTAGCTCACCGGGAGCTGGCGATCGTATATCACAATTTAATGGAGAGATACACTCGTACAACCAAAATCAAGACAAAAACAGTAATAGGGAATTTGACCTGCTGCTCCCATACCATCATAGGACCTATTCTCCCCCTCACTATCAATGATTCATCCCCCCATTAACTTCAACAACGCTACCATTAACATATCTAGCCTCATCGCTCATCAAAAAACCCACTACATCCGCCACCTCCTCAGGCAACCCCAACCTCCCCATCGCAACCGTCCCCTCCATCCTCCTCACCGCCTCCTCTCCCTCTACCACCGACGCATTCGTAGGTGTATTAATATACCCCGGCGCCACCACATTCGTTCTAATACCTCTAGGCCCCAGTTCCAACGCCATACATTTAGAAAACCCAATCACGGCATATTTCGTCGCGCAGTACACTGAGTAGTGGGAAACTGGGACGATGCCACACACAGAGGAAACATTTACGATTGAGGAGCCGGAGGATAAGTGAGGAGTGATGGCGCGGGTTATATTGAATGTTCCCTTGAGATTTGTGTTTATTAATTTATCCCAATACTCATCTGTGATTTCCGTGATGGGCATTGCAGTAGGATTAATTCCCGCGCAATTAAAAACGTGGTTTATGGTGTAGCCTTTGGAAATCATTTCTTGGATGTAGGAGTTGCATTCTTCAGAATTACTAACATCGACAGCTGCTGTGTTGTGATGGGCGTGGAACATGCAGAATGTATGGGTTTCAATGGCAGATTTCAGGTTTATGTCGGATAAGAGGAGGATGACGCCGAGGGATGCTAGTTTGATGGCTGTGGCTCGGCCAATACCACTTCCTGCGCCGGTGATGAGGATGGTTTTATCGGTGAACGAGGGGGCCATTATACATATACCTTGGATCGCGAATATTGGGTATTTCTGGACTTTTTGATATGTACGAGGTTTGACTTTGGTACAGAAATTGGGGAAAAGGTATCATATTGATCCCAAGGTGGGTGGGGTAAATGGACACGAGGATTTATACTGTACATATCTCGCCGCAACCCCCCCTTACTCCTCCCCATCTGCCCTTTACAAATCTACATCTAAAATTCTTTCAACTAAAAAAAAGTGTCTTGATATTAAAACAGTATATTTCGTTTCTCGTCTCGAACCCTCAGATTTTTATTATATCCACAAGAACCCAACCATACTGTAGGTATATTCTCCGAAATCCCATCATCCAGGAACGCCTTAACCCCATTCTTAATTGGCTAGCTTTTTGCCAACGCCAATATTCTATCTTATATCCCAGTGCATGCCCAAGGCAGCCATTCATTTGCAAAATGATATCTCCAATTCATCAATCAATCAAACGAAATTCCTCCTCCAACCATGCATACAAATAAATAGAATAATGTTATCTTCCTTCCTCCCTAGGTGGCACCTCACCCCTCAAATTTTCCCACCCCTTCTCCCCGACCCCAATAACCCCCTCCCTCAGAACCGTCAACTGCCTCACCCCACAATATCCCCCCTTCCTCGCCACTCTCTGATAATCCACATAATGTCCCTCTTTTCCCCAGTATTCCTTCGGTTTTGCCATCGCCCACTCACTTGGGGTCATCTCTCTTTTTGCATGCATAATCCTCGATGGCGGGGAACTCTCGGAACGTGATTTAAGACCTCCGACGATGGCGGAAAAATACGAGGATGCTGATGATGCTTGGAGGGAATCGAGACCTTGCCAAGTGGAATCCTCATCACCTAGATCTCGTTTTTCTTGTTTCTTAATGTCCGCGGATTTAGGAGCATTACCATATTTTCCACCAAAATCCTTTTGTAGATCGATCGCAGCTTGTTCTTGTTCCGTCGTGAACGAGTTAGGGATCCATAACCTATCTTCCACAATATCCCCTCCTTGCTCTCCTCTTCTATCATTAAATCGTGGTAGATGTGCAAGATAATTGATCATAGCTTGCCATGGCACAAATAACCGTTCGAATCTCTTAGCGTATTTAATGTTGTTGAATGATCTCGCATCATATGCCACTCTCACGAAAGGATTCATGAAAATTCCTTCACCCCAATTCTCGTTGGTATTTGTAGTAAAATCTGGAAAATCGGGGGTAGCGAGGATATCGGCATGAATAAGACAGCATTCGGAAGAATCCCAGAAGGATTCTGGTTCGGATCGAAATTTGAGTGGAAGTTCTGTGGGTGAGGTTGAACGTTCATAGATATGATCTGAGTCTTCAGGTTCTCTTTCTTTCGAAATCGAAGAGGTAGTATTGGCAATTTTTGTCTGAAAAAATCTCGCATCGAAAGCCACGATACCGCCCCAACAACTCTTGACTCTGACGGCATCTTTGCCAGCCAAAACATCATTTCGACTAGTACTCTCTCCCTTTCCTCCAAACCATGGGAAGATTGTAACACCAATACTATAGCCCTCGGTATCCCTCGTAGCATAAGTATCATAGAACTTCCAACTCGAAATAAAATCCGTACCACAAACGGCCTTATACTCCGCCCTCCCCTCCTCATTGATATTCGTCCCCCACAAAAGCCTCATCGCACCCTCCACCTCGAAGAGCACATCATTCAAGAAAAGTACTCTATCATATTTCTCCGTCATCTCCCCAGATGTTATAGGATCCAAAGCCTTATTCCTCACATCGGCAAGATATTCGATTCTCTTGATCCTTGTCTGTCCACTAGGCAATGTAATGCGATGTAAAGCCGAAAGATCAATAGCATCGTCCACCTCTGCTACAATCTTCTTCTGCACACCATGTAGCCTCCCCTCAAGTCTCACCAACGAATTCTTAGGTCCTCCATACACACTAACAAAAACTCTCTCCTTCCCAATTGCGTCGACCAGGGCGACCAAATTATCCCCCCATAAACCATCTATAAGTTTCGCATCCACTATATTCGCCGCGATAAATACCTTTTCATCGCTAGGTATTGAGAATTTCGGGGGGTTCGTATAACTCGCGTTGAGGATGATTTGCCAGCATAGAAACAAGATGAAGAATAGGAAGATGTATGTTGGTTTGCAGATTCTTCTAAAAGCCCGTAGAAGCTTCGATGCTAAGCGCCACGGGGAAAATGATTTATCCATGAATTCGTAGGTAGAGTCCTTGACGTCGGGGGAGTTTTGTGGGAGGAGATCATATCGAGGTGAGGATGATCGTGCCATTTTTAGGAATATCTTTGATCTCCTGAGGAGTGTTTCTGGTTCCTATTTCCTATCTCAAGTTTCCCTTCATCTGATAGATCTGTGGTGTTATTCGATCCGTATGTAATCGTTATATATAATCTTTTGCTTTTCGTGTAGTATAGTTTCTCTTTTCGTCGCACTTCGAGTCATGTAATGGTGAAAACTTGTATGATAGAATAGGATTGAAATGAGTGAATAGTAAAAAAGGTAAAGATAAGGAATAATCGGTGAAAGTATTCGCGATTGAAAAATTCATAAAACTATATATATATATATACAGTAGTGAAAGTATATGCTACAATGCAACGACAACAGAAGATGTGAGTGTATCTCTGTACTAAAAACGACATGGCCCCAGAATATCAAGCCTGGCGTTATTTAGCGTATTTAGCTTATTTAGCGCCTTCAATTGACACGGCCTGTGATAAGTCAAGCCCCAGTATCCCGACAAAAGGGGTAATTAATGTAAATTACTCAAACTAAGCTTGGTATTTTGGTAAACCTCGGCAATTTTTATCCAATCATTAAATTATACTCTAAGCAAGGAAAAATAACTTTAACCAATAATAGTTGATAAAATTAGATAAAGTAATTATTATTATTATTATACGATTTTGATAATATTATCTAATTAAACTTTTTATTTATTTATTTAACTATTATTCTAATACTATTTTTTTCTTTTATTCTTTTACTTTTTATAATAAGAACTTGTATAGAGTTTAGTATATAAATACTAAGAATATATATAATACTATATATCTATTATATCGCTCTTTTTATTGTAAACTATTAAATAAAACCTAATTATAACTTTAAGTAGTAGATAAATAAATAATCCGATTTAAAAACTATAATTATAGGGCCGGCCTCTCTACTCGCCTCGCTCATCTACTACTAGCAGACTACTACTATCAAATCTCAGTTAGCTGGGATTTGACGGTAACTCAACAACACAATCAACCCTCTCGAGGCCTACGATTAATCAAAGTTCAAATAATTTTTAAGGATCCCACTATCAATTTTTATTATCTCGAATCCTCGGCCTAATAATTCCTCCTTCCTATCCCTCCATGCCTCGCACTCGCACTCCCTCCCACATTGCACGCATCTCGGATACCTACTGGACTGCCTTTTTGGGATGTCCAGCACGATTCTCTCTCCATCGCACATTAGTAAACCCGTCAAATCCATCACGAGGCTTCTACACTTAGCCCGAATGTCCTCCTCTCTAGACACCCCCTTAGATTGCTGATTTGTGCCAAATAGACATTAGCAGTAGACCCCGAAGTTTTATTAGCATCAACATCAAACACACAATTCAAAATTAATCGTAACTCATTTTCATTTGTTCAAGTCTGCTTTGGTACCGAAACGAAGTGCTAAAGCAAAAGAACGTTAAGATACTATACAATGCAATGCAAGATTGTGATTGCCCTTGAAAAACAACTACCCTCAATCCTTAGCAGGCTTATTAATAGACTGCATCGTCAGATACCATTTCATTTTTTCATCATCGTCCGTCCATTCCTGCATTATTCCTCACCAACCCGAAAAGGAATTTTCGAAATAAGCATAATAAGTTGCAAGCAAGCAATCGTGTGTTCAGGTGAGACCAAAAACAAAATTGGCCAAGCCAGATAAGTAAAGTATGGGTGCAGCAACGACGATGAGGAGTGCAGGCACGGCTAAAAGCCTAATTTTTATGTCAAGGTAACCGATCAGCTTGATGCGAGTCCAGATGGATAACAAAAGACTCAAGGGTATCATATGAGGAAACAAGGAAAATGTCAAGTCCAAAGGAAAATGTCCTTACGTGTGACGTCCGCCACCACATAATTTCCTAATCAGTCCTCCAATCCAATCCACAAACACAACTTGGAAGAATGCTCTAAGGAAGTTGCGGGATTTGGCGTCATTGCCCGCCGAACGCATAGAAGATGGTGTGATGGATCTCTCGGGTACATTGGATGTAGGTTGTTTACGAGCTCTTAATTGCGCATCATCAATCTCCTCCGCAAATGATGTTGTTTTAGCGGCATTCTCCTTGGAAATGGAATCATTGACTTTCGCATTCACACTCGCAGCTGGAGTTGCCGGCTGAACTGTAATAGCTGGGCTATTCTTTCCTGGTTCTGGAGGACTGTTTTGAGCGCTTCCAGTGAGAGTGAGTGATTTGTTTTCGACAAAAGGAGTTGGGGGCAAAGCTGGTAGGACTGGGTGGAGCTTGCTTGAAGCTTGGGCGAATTTCATGGTCGGAATTTGAGACGAGTCTCGAGAAGTTCTCTCAGAATTTTCGGCGTTGTTTATTTCAGTCTTTTGATCACCCGAGCCCTTCTTCGGGCTATCTGAAATGTTCCCATCGCTTTGTGACTTCTCAATACTGGGGGTCAGAGCGGTCAATTTGGAGTCTGGCTCACCCTCAGCATTCTCTTCCACGATTGGAAGCAATGATGGAGAGGTTTCATGCGCAAGTGATTGAGGTGAAGGCGTTGGTAGATCGGTGCTTTCTGCATGATGATTGCCATTCGTGATAACGGGCGATGGCGAATTTCTTTCAACATCTGTCTGATCCTCGCTTAATTGATTCTCGAGTCTTCTGACATGTTCCAGTATTTGATTGAAATTGCTGGGAAAGGGTTCGAGGCTAGGATCATTTGGATCAAACTCTCGAAACATTGGCTGCGCAACTGCCGATCGACTCTGAGCACTCTCATATTCTCGTCGCTCTTCAGCAGTCGGAGGACGACTACATTCATGTGCAAAAAGTGGTGCCCGCTCCTCAAATGGTGTCTCGACATCCAAATCACGATCCAAATCAAAACCCCGTGAGAGAATATCCCGGTGGGGGGTTGGCAGTTCAATTACAGCTGGCTGCTAACGAAGTCAATAATTAACAAAATTATAACAAGAGCAAACATGACAACTTACCTTGAAATTTTTATCAATCTGGGCTGCGGTGTCGGCCACCTCCGCAGCAGTTTCTGCGACTTCAGGAATCGGTGTCTGCGAGAGTCGTCTGTAACCAATCTTACCAGCTTCTCTATCCGACATGGGAGGAGTTGGTGGTGCTTCATCAAGCAATGCTGCAGAGTCCGCGACCTCAGCAGCAACATTAGCAAGTTCTGGTGTGGCTGTTTGCTGTCTGATGGTGATCTGATCAGGTACAGCATCCTGGGCATGTAAAGTACGTGCGTCCTTTTGTGCAAATGTTGCGTCACTTCCGAAATCGTCACCATGGCGGGGTTCGGAATCAACCTTTTCAATCGTAACAAGTGGCGCCGAGACAACTTCGGTTGGAGTGCTTGGTTTGTCATCGCCCTTAGTGATATTTGTCGTGCTCTCAACAGGTTTATTGACTTCATCGTGTTCAACAACATCCTGAGCAGTGCTTTCTTGGCGAGTAGGGTTGACTACATTATTTGGTTCTGGCACTTTATCCGTGTCATCGGCTGGCGTTTCGATTGTGGGGATTTCTTCAACATCAATTGCCTTGGATCTTTTGTCCTCGTGGAGTACAGTTTCGTTGGTAGAGGGTTTGACTGGCTCCTCAACTTGAATCGGTTCAAGGACTGCTTGTTCTTGTCCAGGTGTGGTGCCGGTCTCCGTCACAACCGTTTGCTCCGCAGAGTTAGTATCCTCCGCTGCATTGCCAATACTTTCCTCGGTAGATACAGGATTCGAAGTGGTAACCTCAGAGCTTTTTATTTCTTCCTTTTCGGGCTCTTCGGCCACATTTTCAGTGCTTTCATATGCGAGTATTGGATTCGAGGTGGGAATTCCAGAATTTTGTGACTTGCTTGTCTCAAGCTCCTCAACTAGCTTTTCCTCCGAAATGGCACGACTATCCGCTAAGTCAGTCTCTTCTTTTGCCTTGCCCTCGCTCACAAGCGGCTCTTGAACTGATCTTGGGTCTTCGATGTGACTAGGGACAGGCTCTTCTTTTGTCTCAGCCCTATCCTCGCTATGAAGTGTTTCTTGTATCGATGATGGCTCTTTGGTGTGAGTAATGGCGGCCTCTTCTTTTGTCTCACTCTCACTGGCGAGCTTCGATTTTGACTCTTCAGTGGCAATATGAGCGGGCTCTTCCTGGTGTTTGGAAACTTCATCTTCACTGGTATCAGTCTCTTCTTTTGCCTTAGTCTCACTAGCGGAAAGTTGTTGCTTCGATTCGACGGGAGTAGGAACGTCCTCTTCTCGGTGTTCAATTGAGTCATCTTTGTGCGTATCAGTCTCTTCAATTCCCTCGCGCTCACTAATTAGTGGTTCTTTGTCCAACTCTGACTTTTCAGATGCAATTGAAACGTCGTCTTGTTGTTTAACAGCTTCATCCTCATTCATGCTAATTTTGGTTTGGAGTACCTCGTCAGGATCTTGATTCGTGGCCTCCTCAGGCTCTACTGTATCGGTCTCATTATCGAGAGATTCTTTGGGTATCTCACTAACTTCTTCAGTGGATGAATTTGGTTTCAAATCGAGGATCTCTGTCGTTGTTGACTTCAATTTCTCGGCAGCTTCTAAGTGAGCATGTGATTCCAAATGATCTGGTTCTTCAACTCCAGTACTGGAAACTTCGAGCTCTTCGACTGGAATGCTAGATAGTTCGAATTGTTCCGCTGGAGTTTCCTTTCCCGACTCAATTGCATGGTCAGCTTCGGCCACAGATGGCGAAGTGTCATGTGTCTCTTGAGTTTTCTCTGGTATGGCTTCGGCACTATGGTTCGAGGTGGAGTCTGTTACTAATGCGGATGCCTCTGGATGTGAGCTTCTTAGAACCTCATCTCCAGCGTGCTGAGTTGGCTCAATTGGCGTTTCCATTGTTGTCTCCTTGGTGTCAAGATCGGGTATTGTGCGGGGAGTTGAACTCTCTTCAAGTGATTGTTGGTTGGATGGAGACTCGGTGCGCAAAGTGGACTTAGATTGTGAAGAGGATTTAATCGGAACTGTGAGAAGATTATTTTGGTTCCCAACTTCATCGGTAACTGGAATAAATTGTATATTAGTTGGTTGCCTGAATCATTGATTATTCATTACAATCTCGCTTCCCGGTGGGTATCAAATATGAGTGAAATAGAAAGAAGTGTAGTTTGAGAAAAGTAGGTAAAAAGTGAAGATTGGGGGGGGGGGGTGGACATACCAGTTGGTGCATCTTCATCTGACATCCACCACTCTCCATCACCAAGCCTGAACTTGTATTGATATTCTTTGCCCTCTTCCACCTCGACTTCCTTCGAAAATATGTAGCGGTCCACCGAATCATTTGTATATTCCATTTCCTGGGGCTGCCATGGTGAATCGGGAAAAGAGCCAGCGAGATAGATTGGTGGGGCAGTTCCTGGTTTGGAATATTTGATGACAACCGATGTCTTTTGATCTGCCATCTTGACCTAGTATTCTGCAAGCTGTCATTACTGGTGTTCCAATTCAAATACAAATTCAAGAAAGAAAGAAAAAATTACCACTGCTTCGCGAAGATAAGGGATTAATGTCAAAGACGGAGGAGGAAATGATCCGTAGAAGAATGAATATGAGTAGAAGGAGGAGTAAAGTAAAATATCCTAGGATTCTCGAAAGAAACAAAAGTTAGACTAACAGACTGGAGAAAAATTCACCATGAGAAGGAGTAGTAATGACTTTTGTAGAGAAAGGAAAGGACCGGTTTGCTCATACCTTTCTTTGGTATACTCAGGTAGGCAGTACTAGTAATTCTCTACTGAACCTGATACCAAACACTTTTTCTCAAAAAAGCTTCAGCAAAAGAATGCTTTTCAATTGTTCTTGATAAGACTGAGGTTCAACCGAATTTAATACTTCACAACGATGCATAAATGGGGTGAGGGGTGAGGGGCGAGGGGTGAGGGGTGAGGTGAGGTGAGATACCGGTATTGCCAAACAAGACTTTGAAGAGTGAATACCAAGTGTTGCGATTGTGTTGTGGTTGTGTCGTCATATAAGGCTGACACTGATACTGTGACAAGGTTTATCAGGGACTTGATGAGATGAGTGGAGGAGTTTGAAAATACTTGAGTACCAGTATGTATCGCAGATTTATACACAAAGTAGAAAGGAATATGATACGGTACCAAATAAATTTATCCAGTTGATGAGTTGATAAAGGAACAGACACACCACTTTAGATAGCTACAAGCTTACTCATACTACTTGCCAATACTGCTGCCCAATGCTGCCAATACTGTTGAGGGGAAAAGACCTGCGTCACAGATGAAAATAATCCTTGAAAGATAGATAGATATATTGACGAATCATAAGGTATATATATTATACAGTCGTATCTCCACCTTCTTGTTTTGTGCAATTTTTGCAACTGCAACATTCGTTGGCAGCCACATCATCATATTAATCTGAAGAACCTTTATACCGGTATATACATATCTGGTAGCAGCTTTGTTGAGTACCACTTCTGAATGCAGTGAATAAGTGAGAGGATATCTAATCAAGATATGGTACCAGTATTTATTCATTTTTCTTGTATAGACAACTTCCTTCTGTAAGAGAAGATCTGGAGTATAATAGCCCCCATTAGCGTGACATAATAAGTGGAGAATTATTATGGAAATAAGGGCAGGGACTAGGTAGGATCATCGCTCTGAATGGTTCGCTTACTGTACCCGGGCAGACATGTGATATCTCATAATCTCAGCCTTATGGATAATATTTTTGAGGCTGAAGCTCAATAATCTGGAATACCCTTCAACTATCTTGACTTCTAGACTTCTACAGTTCTACATTTCTACAACATCAAATTCAACTCAAACTCAAACTCAAACTCAAACTCAAACTCAAACTCAACCTCAACTTCAACCTTTCAACAAACATCGCAATCATCAGAGTACCCATATATTTCATACCTCCACTACAGTATTGTACCGCAATAAGCAATCAGAGTGTGATCGCAGACAGGTCTTTTGATATCCCTCTGGTCCCAGGTCGATTCCCTCCAACCCACCTTCATTATGTCTCTACCGCCATCAGTTATTCATATCAAGAGGAAAGCCACAGATTTACCCCAAGAATTCCTTCGTAGGTTGAATAAGAAATCCATGTTGCTGCAAACAATCACTAAATCAATTCTTTACAGGTGTTGATGATGCTGTTGCAAAACGACAACGTCGGACAACTAATTTTGTTTATTCAAGACAACAAACACTGCAAGTCGATAGTGATACTTCCACTCCTCAATCAGCCCCACCAGGAAGGCGTATTAAACCTTTACATCGCTCCACAAGCTCTCGGTCGTTAGCCATCAAAACACAAGGAAAGAGCGAAGGAATCATCCAACCAATCAATGAAGTCAATAATGAAGATCAAGTCGCCAAAGCTCATCCTTCAACTGCCAGTATCCCTGCGGAACAAGATAGTGGACCACCTTCAGGCAGTGAACGCCCATCGAGTAGCGGAAGCACGAAGAAAGCGGCTCAGCAACGACGATTCCATCTTTCGAGAAATGCAACACCAGCACTCCCCCCAGGTCCAAGTAGTGGCGTACGAAAACGCAATGCTACTGTCTTCATCGAACGTCGTGTGCGACAGAAGACTCAAGAAGAGAAATGGACATCTGTAGCTAACGCTGCTATAAAATCAGAGAATGTTGCTACCGAGAAGCAAGACCAAGAGGAAAGACCCCAGAAAAAACCAGGTCGAGGATCTAGAATACAAGTAGCACCTGCGAAAGATGTGAAGGATACGAAGGACATCACAGCACCTCAATCAACGCCACCTTCGGCACTAGTCAATCCTTGGGGTCTTGATATAGATGACTTGGCAGCACAGATGCAAGCTTATACACTACAAGAAATCGGACGCAGCATTGCAGAATCCAAAGCATCAGAACCTGAACCTGTACCTGTACAAGCATCTTTCCGCAAGCCGGCATCGTCTAGGTTCAAGCCCAAGAAGCCAGTTCTTCGCTACAAAGAACGTCATCCCGAGGAAAATGACATGGAAATCGATCAGGGACAAATTTCTGGAGTTGAGACTGACGAAGACATGGATACTGATTCCGAGTATATCATTGAAACATATATTCGTGTTCCTGCTGAAGATATTGATAACGAAGACAACAAAATCACTTTCGGTATTCTCGTACTTGACGCTCAATCCGACATTGATGAATTTTATCAAGATTGGGATACTGATGAAGAAGTAGAAGATGAAGCTGAAGAAGATGAAAATGGTTTGTATCCCCCTATCCCTAATACCACCAATTTCTTTCGCTTTTTACCATCATACTAATATCTTCCTAAAGACGAAAACCACTACACAGCTGATTACCCCGATGCGGAAGTCGACTCAGACGACGAGTATAATAGAAATGCATATGCGTATCGTACAGGTAACGCATCGGATCTCGAAGAATTTGATGAGGATGAGGATGATAGTGATGAGGATGAGATGGGCTTTAGTGATGATGAAACTGATAAGTTGAAATATCCTTGGTCGAAAGTGGGCGCGCATAGGCGAAAGGATATAAATGAGTTTGCAAGTGGTAATGAAGATGATGATGAGGATGATGAGGACATGGAGTAGATGGGAGGGGAGGGAAGGTAGGGAGGCTAATGGGTCGGGATGTGGCCGGGTGATGAAGGGAATCTGGTGGGTGATGGAGGAAATCTAGTGGATTATATGAAAGGGAGGCGGTGTTCATGATGTGTCTTTTTCATGCAGTGAAGAATTGACGGACGGCTCGAAACAAATTTTATTGGAAAGAAAAGAAGAAATACCTACCTAAAGAAATCCTGGGATATATGAAAGCAGAGAGAACGAAAGAAAGCGAAGTTCAGCAGAAATGCCATTAGGAAAACAAACCTAGGAGAGATAGGGTATCAGAATGAATGTACGAGAGTACAGTGTTTACTGAACACTGAGGAGCTTTACAGGGACTTTACCAAGTAGACTCGTAGGTAGATAATAATATAAACATAAATATAATGAAAAGGGGAATCTGAACATGAGCGTGAACGTGAACAATAGCGAGAGCGATAGTTGGGGGTTGCAAATCGGTGGTGCAAACTGGGGTCGATATGTATCGTGAATGGGCTTGGATGTTGGGCTAAATTGTGAGTTGTGAGTTGTGAGCTGTAGCGAAGAGAGGAAATGAAGTTGTGGGTAGAGAGTATTGTATAGGATTGTATGGGATTATGGGGGTGAGAAGTGTAATGAATGGTATATGGGAGGGGGAGAGATTAGTGAGGGAAGGAAAGGAGGTTATAATGTGGACTGTTAGTGATGTAATGAGTTAGAATCAAGTAGGTGAAAAATATTATATAAATTCATATAGGTTTTTAGGAATAAGAGGTATAATGGTATAAGTAAGAGAAAGGAACGAAGTTGTCATATAGACCATTAGTGATGTAATGAGTTAGAACCAAGTGGGTAGAGAGTATTGTACAGGATTGTATGGGATGATGGAGGTGAGAATGTAAGGTAAGAGGGGGTTTTGGGATCTTACAAGACTACCTTGTGAGTGGAAGAATTGAAGAAAAGGATGAGATAGAGAGAAAAATAATTTGAGTAGAGAAGAATGTTAAAGAGATATTAGACAGATTAGTTTTTGCACTGGGGATTTGGGGGTTGAAGTTAGATGGGATGGGATGTCAGAAGCTGGTTGGTATGAGGAGGGTTGTGACTTGGCTTAGATTGGAATATGGGTATGGAATGCTTTGAGTGATCACTAGTAAAGGGTGAGTTCTCGCAAATGTTTTGATATGGTTTCTAGTTCACCTCTCTGTGTTATCATGTTCTATTTCTCGTTTCTGAAAATGTGGATTACTATAACAGTAGGCTATTTATATTCAATGTGTATCTTTTCAAATCAGTTTTGTAGAGAATTGGGTCATCTAGCTGAGATAGGATTTGGGAAGGACAGGATCGGGGCAAGATTCAGTATAGGTTCTTGGATGGAGAGTAAGTTGTAAGTTGGGTGTAATTAGGGACAAAAGTGGAGGTGGGTGTTTGGATGATTTAATAAATGATATGATGGAAAATATAGTGATGAAGTGGTAATGTGATACTCGTTAATGGAGTTAAGTGTTGAGGGTTGATGAGACAGAAAGGGAAAGCTAATAATTAGAAGTTAGGCGATATCTGGGAAGGGGGGAGGAAAGGTGAAAGAGTTCATATACATATTGATAGGGAGGAAATAAGCTGGATGGTAGTACAGACGTTGGTGATGGTGTATTTGATTGGTAGTGTAGTGAACATGTGACAGCGAAAGAAGGAGGATATAAATATAAATATATTTGTTTACAAACACTTGAGACCAAACTGCTCAGATGATTACAACCTCCGACATTCTGGATGCACCAAGCTATTAGCCTCAATTTTCCCAAAGCTACTCCTCAGCCAGTAGTTAAGATAGCCCTACCTACTCCATGAGGCATTGAGCCATATCCTCTACAACTGTCTAGTACTTCTCGCTAAGGTAGAGCCTTTCCTCTGTCGGTATTTCGCTAAATAGTCGGAGACCCCCATTAGCCTCCCCCTACCGAGTACCTCGCCAACCACCACATACAATTTCTTCCTTTCCTCAACTTCACCCAATATCCAGTGCACAAACAGAAATCTTGATTTGGACATATATAATATCCTTTGTATCTAAATCAATTCACGTCATAAAATCTCGATTCGAAGAGACGGAAAAGCAATAGTACACACTTACAATGGCGTCTCACGAATTCAAGAAACTAAATATCAACAAAGTAGGCGATGGAAATGAAGATGATAGAGAAAATCAGAGAGCTTATTGTATGTATATTCACATCTTCCACTTATTGTTTGCGTTAGATTTTCGTTGGATATCACAATCAGTTTTGAAGATCTTGATCTGTCCCTTTGGTAATCTTACTCTTTTTTACTTGTGTTTCTCAGGCTATTACTTCGTCTGAGCCGGCAGCTTTTCTCCTGTTTCTCTATCTTCTTTTGCAGTGGTCACGACTTCTGTTTCGGGATCTCTATCAGTACTTTGTGAAATGTGATCGCACAAACCATGGCTGACAATGTCCAACCATTGTCTATACATCCAAAATTCAACTATCAAGTAATAATAACTAGAAATATGTAGGTCCTTTCCTGTTATAGACAGTTGCCGGACACCCAAATCGTGGTGTTCAATCGGAAATTTCATGTACACTCGATGGTGTTGAAGATGTATTCTGCTTGGTTCAGGAGATTGATGGAGTATAATGTAACGAAATTGCAAACCCAGAGATATCACTATGTATCAGTAATTGACGAGGATGGAGACTGGAGACTAAGATAGATCAGCATTTGTCAAATTCTGCTTTGGTAGAACCCGTGCTAATCTCCAATAGTCAAATTGCGCATCCGCGAATGAGCCGGATCAATTCAAGGCCTTAAATGTCCATTTCAAGGTGGGGTGTGAGTCTCGAGCTTTCTATAAATTGATGTGTGTCATGTATCATGTGCGCACTTCAATTACTACAGTTAAGGAACTGACAATGATGACTCGCATTGCCGACTTTTAGTGCCCAATCCTCTCTTCCTCATTCGATTCATCCTTATTAGACGATGACAGTCTACTTCATGTCAGTGGTGTATTTGCGATGAACGATGACGAGATCGACGAAGCCTTGAAAGCAGCAGTTAAGCTACGACCCCGGTTCTGTTTAAACTCGTAGTATTAGCAATCAGCAAATGGAGATTTCTAGAGTCTCCCAGACGCTTCGAAGCTGGGAGATAACTTCCAACTGGCAATCACCACAGCATACATAAAAGTTCTCGAAACGCAAGACAGGGCCCAAGACTTGCTCGAAATGGGAATTACCACGGCTACCATTAACTTGAGTGAACACGATAAGCATCAGATTGTTTACCGTTTGCGAGGATACCAGGACGACTTCCTCGATCACATAGAAGGGATGGTCGATTATGGGGTTTACCGTCGACGCTTGCGATATTTGGAATCTATCACAAATCACGAGTCGAAGAACTTCCCTGGAACACTCCCATTAGTCCGGTTGACGAAAATTATACGTCAACTACTCAGCCAATGATGATTCAACCTGCGATGAGATAAATAATGAAAAGAGCCTCTTTTGTCGCGATATAAAGCATTTGCAGTCGAACGATACTGGAGGAAATATGTATGAAGAAAAAAGGCACATGGAAAGAAGATGAAAATATGAGACTCAAGATGGATGTGCAATTCAATTGAATTGAATTACGAATATGATTAGGTAGGTTATCTATATTAGTAAGAGTAGAGCAGAGTTTTTTGATTTGATGATTTCTGTGTCGTGTGCCCAGTTCAGTGCAGCTGAGATAACTTTTCGTATTGTTCTACCATTCCATTCAGAGAGCATCCTTTTTTTTTATCTAAGTAGGCCATTCGATCTCTCATCCTTTCTTATAATTTACCACCCAGCAAACCATGAGCTCTTCCCTACTCACTTCCTTTGAATTCGCTGTTAGTGGTTGTTGGCGTACTGTTCACGTGTTTATTCGTCCAAATAGCCAGAATGGTTTTCTCTCCACAAGATCGTGTTGCTTGGTCTTCCATGGCTTTATGCCGTCAAGGCTCAACTTGATGATTTTGATTCTACAATCAAACTGGGAGATGAAGTTCTGAACGAACCCCATTCTACTCTTCAAATTCCCGTCATGCATAATCATATTCTCATCAACTCATTCTCAATCCCGCCGCACCAAAGTATCAACCGTCGAGCAGATTGTTCATTTATATGGTAGTGATTTTACGATTAGGAAACTTCCTGATATTAAGTCATAACCACCGCCCTGTTCGGGATAATTCCACTAGGTGGAATTCATGGGACAAATGCTTAGCAGCCGCATGTTCCGCACATATCAAGCCGCCCTTAATTTCATATTTTGAAACATATCCTGAGGAGTTGCCTCACGATAGATTAGATGATGCTGCATGGAGTACTCTTCAGTCATCCAAAAGCTTCTAGCCAAGTTGACTGTTGCTACTAAAACTTTGGAAAGCGCATCATCTACCCATCTGAGGTTTTACTTACTATGTAATATCTTTTGGAAGCATTCGAACAAGCTAAGCTTGATTTCGCAGATGATCCTCTCTAATCATTGATGATAAATTCAGGGTGGACAAAACTCGATAAATATTATCGTATCATAAATAAGGCTCCTGTCTATGTCGCCGCTCTGGTCTTAATCCTTCTTTCAAATGGGTTTTCATTGAAAACAAATGGACTCATTCCCAGATAAGAAAGGCAAAGTGAAACTTTGGAATCAACCAGTATCGGCCAGTACCTGATACTATTCCCATTACTACTACTGAGCAGAGATTGAATGAGATAGAGCACAATAACCCGTTAAGAGGGTGGGTGGCGAACTTCGAGGTTGTCCCCGATATTTCGGATGAATATGAAATATATTGCTCAGAACCTCGAATTCAACACATCATCAAGAACCCTTAGTTGTGGTGGGAAGGGCCTCAACAACAAGACTTTCCGCATTTGAGCAAGATGGCCCTAGATGTTTTATCGATTCCTGCGATGAGCGCTGAACCCGAAAGGTTGTTTTCTCTTAGCAAAGTTATTATCACTGACCGTCGGAATAAGCTACAGATTGAAGTGTTGTGCTTGAAATCGTGGATGTGGCATGAAATATGGGAAGATGATTTTGGAGCATTTTTGGAACCATTTTTAGGTACAAGATAGATTAAATAGATAGATGTACTTGCATCATTCATTCTCTTTTCAGTACTGGTAATATGAGCTTGTTGTCATCATGCATGTGCATATGATGATGAAAAGGTAAAATTAATTGAGGATCAAGAGCTAGCTAGGAGGGGCGAGAGCCCTTATAAGGAAGAGACCTATACTGTATACAGGAGAGCCTTAGCGAGCTAGGCTAGAACTGCACAGAGCTAGCTACAACCGTATAGAGCTAGCTGGAACTATATGCCGTACCTATATAGTGCTAGTACAGTAACACTTGTCTCCGAAAATCTGTTCATAGCTCGTTCATCAGCCTTGCTGTACTTTTTCTATTTTTGCGAGCTCTCGAAACGTCCAATTTCGTATCAAATTGCCCACCATTCCCGATTCCGAGCAACTCTATCGTACCTTGCCATACAGCAAACAGGTTCGGCCATTTGTACTGACGTCTTTGAAGACGTGTATGTTGAGGTGCTGTGCTACCAAATCTTCGTGGCTGACATCCAATAGTGACAGCAGTTCGCCCAACATTTCCGTATTGTATCAAAAACAATTTGCTTCCCGAATAATAACTATGCCACAAATAAAAAATGTATCACCGCCTAAGAAGACTACCCTTCCAAGATCGATTTCGAATAGTGGCATCCCAGCTGCATTACGAATCCACACTCCCTCCGACGGGCTTTACAAGATAATATCTTGGGATTTGGGTACCGGATACACAAGTATACACACTGCAGATATCGAGGTCAAGTCAGAGGAATTTATAAATTCGAAAAGCATTGTCCCAAAGCATTTTCATCGCTATCCTCAGAATCCAAATCACCGACCGGAGCACACAACAGAAGTCCCCACAGTATGCGCCCACATTCCCGGCGAGATAGATGAATCTAAGGCTCAACATAGATACGAAGTCGACTATATAGACGGAGAGACTGGGGCAGTGGTTATTGACACCATGAAAGAGGCGTTGTATTTTAGATCAGAAGCAATGCAACAAAACAAGGCTCTCAAAGATTTTGCACTCGAAATTCCCTATCTTGTGTCTCGATACAAAGATACTCAGCTAGCAGCTCACCCAGAGATCTGGATGTTAGCTGATTACATCCTTTGGCTTGCCCAACTGGTGAGATTAGCCGTTATCGAGGAAGGCTTCCAAGGAAATCTAATCTGGATTTGTACTATTCCATCAAATTGGAACAAGCATAACATCAAATTGTATACCCTTGCTCTGGATGCTTCTCCACTTCTTGCTGGTAAATACATACTTCAATCGGAGATAGAGAGTGCTATCGCAGGACTGGTACATCAACCCCTAAAACAGTTGACAATGAAGGATAGCAGCGTCTTCTTCGGACTTGACGTTGGTAAAGGAACATCTGTTTGTGAAGTCTATTGCCCCTCGCCAGCCTCCTATTGATTAAAGGTCTAGGATTTCAGCGCCTTTCGCCAGATACGTAGTGATCCGGTACAAGTTGAAGAAATTATGCCGCCTGCTGGTCAGCCATCCTTTCTAGTCCTGTCAAATTGAGAAGAGAAGTCTTGCTGATACTATCATTAGCATTATTTGCAGGGTCGAGTACTGTACTACGGCTTTGGGAATTGCATATCCATGAGCTATGTAGCGAAGAGACTAAAGAAGATCCTCATCGTTTCAAATCAGAACTAAAAGCCTGTAAGAAGGCATTCACCGAAAGAATGCACGGGTACACAGGACTGTCTGGAGAGGAAACGGATAAGATCTATTACATCTGTGGGCAAGATATCAAAATCACAACGTAAATATCTTTCATTGCTACCTCTTTATTGTTGCTAATCATATTTGTTGATATTAGAAATCAAATGAAATCTTGGTTTGATGAATGGATGCGTCTCACAAGAGAGTTTCTTATCAAACAATTCGAGAAATATTGCACACAACTTAATCGCCCCCCGCCTTTGAAGTTTTTCCTGATGGGAGGGTCTAGCAATGCTATAGTTTTGCAAAAATGTATAAGAGATCTTCTTAGGACGCCGTCCTTTCGCAACACAGAGCTCGTTCTTTTGGGAGATTTCAATAGGTTAGTATATATCACTGCTGGTAGGCTACCAGTATCTAACTGTTAATAGTGCGACACTTGTGGCTTATGGGGCTACAATCCGGGCTGTCACGTCTGTCATGTCGGTTAGAAAGAGCCACTATTGGTTAGGATTTGCAAGGAAGGAACTGTATAATAGGAAAAAGCACACCGATGTGCTTGATGCAGACATTGTGAACGAAGATATCCTGGATGAAAATGGCAAGATGAAAATGAAAAAGCAGGTAAAGACTATTCAGTGGTGGGACCAACCAGTATGTCACCGGATACCAAACTTTTCTTTGGAATAAAATGCTAAATACTAAATAGGGGGAAAGTTGCACGATTGATGGTTCTATTGATCAGATGCCTTTTATCAAAATGCTAGAATACTTCGATGAAGAGGGACCTGCGATAGGTCAACCTACAGATTACACAGTGCCTATTTCAGTATTAATTTGTTCAAGTTTGGGCGAATCGGAAGTTATGGATAACGACAGGGACGATATCGCGAACGGCGGCGCTGGAAAAAGAGGCTGGTCTTACCAGAGTATAAGGCCGAAAATAGAGGAACTCGACTTCGAAATCGATTTTAGTCCCAGCATCCCTAACCCATTACTCATCGCTAGCGACCTTGTCTCAGTCGGTGGAGTTTATGAAGTCAATTGGACTATTTTTGCTGACTACAGGTATTGGAATCGACTTTTGGTGCGCCGTCCGTCCGGATGAGCAGTACTCGAGCAATAGTGATGATCTTCAGATGAATTCACGAAGGGCACACCGAATTTTGTTTACAGATCTTGTCGGAGTAATTCAGCAATCTTATGATGTTGGTAATGATGAGACAGGAAAATATGTGAGGCAGAACAGCCAAGACGAGGAGGCTATACCAAAAAGACTGGAAAGGAACAAGACTGACAATGATGGAAGTGGCGTTGTGCAACTCAATGCTACGAACGAAGTACACTTTCCAGGTCTTGTTACACCAAGCCTAACCTCAACTAAACGAAAACTCAATGTGCCACAACATCAAGATAAAAGACAAAAGACAAAAGACAAAAGACAAAAAGACCATCTTCTCAAGCTATAAACTCAAATAATGAACTTTCAGCAAGACTGCAAGAAGTAAAGGATACAACGATGAAGGACACGCCAGCATCTGCCAGCTTGGAGTCAGAAGACCAGCCTTCAAGATTCCAATCTTTGGAAGAACAGCCCAAGGAATCGCAATCAACGGAAAAGCCAGATTTGGATGGGAGTACAGAAGAAGAATCCATCTCCATCAACCCTGAAGTTTTACTGAAAAGTATTTCTGATTCCAATACAACCATACCAAAACCAGTTTTGGAGGATCATGCAGATGAGGACGAGTATAATGATGCAATGACGGAATACATCGATCAACTTCGACGCGAGGAATTAACCAGGTATGGAATGTTTGAGCTCTCGCATGTCTATTGACTAATTTCTATAGGCTATAAGCAAAATACGATTCTGAAGCATGTATGCATTTCAATGAGCACATATGGATTCAAGTCTGCCGGTTTATCCATCATAAACCAACTTTAAAGGAGCCAGAATATTGTGTCAAGATTCCTGGTGGTTTTGAACGTCAGCTACTACCTTGTCAACTTCATGGTGTCTGGTATAGCCTTCAGCAAATTCATGGAATTGCAGGGTCTATTTTTCTATATCACATCATGGGTATTGGAAAAACCACTATGGTACTTGCGATCCACTGGATTCAACACATCTTCAATGTGATGTGGGCTGACATACGTGCTAATCCGACGGCTCATGCTGTACCTGGCGAATGTCCAACCAATAAGCAGATGTTTAGAAAACATGGATTCGATTGCCCTTGCTCTGCTGACAGTACAAACCACTGGTTGAAGGAGAGACTAGGCATCACTGTTGCTCTTACTCCCCTCGGTCTGTTAAACGTTTGGAAGGCCGAACATATACAATGCTTTAAAGGCATTCCTGATCAGATGCTGGTCAAAGCACATGGTACTGCTAATGCCGGTGGAGGCGATCGATTGGATAGTAGCACGTGAGCTCTATTGAGAGGTACAGAGGTTTTTCTAGACGATGAAGATGGGGTTGAGGATGAGTCCGAGGATGAGTCCGAAAAGCGCCAAACTCCTTCAATCTATACGCCACGTCTCGAAAATGGGCACGTATTTGTTGTTACTACAGCAGAGTCATTTGCCAGTCAATTTTTGAATTCTTTCCGGCATAAGAAGACATGGCGGTACCGACCGAAGGGCATACCATCTGTCAATAAACGTGGGGAGCATTATATTACTAAACCTAAGGAAAAAACAAAAGAGACACCACCTTATCAATCATGTATTGTGTCTCTTCTCATTAAAGACGAATTCCAGCTACGAAAGACAGAGTCCATTAGAGCTATCAAGGATGTTCAGATACGGCAACATATCAAAAACGAAGGAAAGTCGCCGGATGAGTGCGGATACGAAGTTTATCAACGAATTGCATTAGTATTGTTGAGTGGTACTCCTTTAATGACAGGACCATTGGATATTTCCGGTTTTGTTCAATTGATGTGTCGCAATAGCTGGAGAAAAGATGCAGTTTTGCAAAATTGGATGCACAACGAGTTGCAGGATCTTGGTGAAAGATGGAAGAAATGGACTGATAGCAGGTCTATCAACACTCAAGATATCTTTCAGGAGATAACTTCGAGGTTTAGTCCATTGGTTGAGAAACTCATGATTCGATGGACTACGAACAGCGATCTTCTTGGTGAAAAACCTATTATCATACCACGCAATCTCTACTCCGACATCAAATGCGACAACGGACCAGACTGGACTCTCAGGGTTGACTCTCTCGATCAAGAAGAATCTGAGAGATTGAAGACTCGGGAGAAAAAACGTCAAGCAAGATATCAAACGATACATGGTCATCTCATTGGAGATAAGCCATTAGACAAGACTAACGTTAACATCTACTATCGTTCTCGATTATGCGCATCATTTCCGTATCTCATGGAGCTTACAGATGAGAATGATGTTCCGTTAAAACTGACCGAGAGAGAATGGATAGAGAACACCACGGGCAAGAAACCGGAATGGAAACAGGAAACAGATACTGATCCATACTTCAAACATCTGAAGAAGATTGTTGCATCTTCTGGCAAGCTTTGTGAGATGAAGAAAAAGATCAATAAATACAAAAACTTTATTGATGCTGAAAACAAGTTGGCAAGACAAATCTTTTGTTCTTATTTCTTCGCAGGTGCCTATATCATGTATCTGGTATGTATGTTCCATTCCTATTTATGATATTATGATAAAGTACTAATCAAAAAGTCATAGTGGATGATACACATCCTTAAATTCAGACGTGAGGATGTTGTTTTCTTACACAAGCCTATGGGTCAAACGAAAATCAATGCTGCATTAGCAAGATTTCATATCGATATCAACTGCAAAACGCCAGCTGAGGAACAAAAAACAGCGAGATATATTGTTGCGACTAGTTCATCCTTTGCTGTAGGATTGACTCTAGCGGAAGCTATATCAGTTGGATTTTTGGAACCTGATTATCATGCAGATACTGTGGCCCAAGGAATTTCTCGACACTGCCGCCAGGGGAATAAAAATCTAGAGCATGGTGTCGAGTCTTGGATGTTTATGGTCAAGGATAACAGGGTGGAGACAAGAATATTCGAGGTCAACAACTTACGCAAGCAAATCATCAACGCGGCTGAACGTAAAACTGACGATGTTGCGAAGAAAAATAAGGAGAATGCGATCTCGGATACTAATCCTGCTACCTTGACTGCTACTCATTTATCGGCCGGTTTGTATAACAGTTAGGTAGTCTAACAGATAGAGATGAATACATCCACCATCGAATGGTCTGTAGTCAGTAAAAACAAACACCCATTCGGAAAAAGGCAAACATGTTGTACGGGAAGGAAGGATTATCTGGTGTTTGGGGGGAGGAGGGGAAGGTGGGGGGTAAGGGAAGCTAATTGAAGCGCAATATCAAACCGGCACTCACCTAGACGGAGAATTGCGCTGTAATACAGGCGACCCAAGCCTGAACTCCATGTAAATCTCTAGAATAGCTTCAGTGCCCCTGCCTACCTATCAGACTCTACAGAGTATCAAGGTGTTTCCAAGCATGATATTTTTGATCGATACCGAGAAGGCCTCTGGAGCAGCTGATAAACAAATATTTGTGAATCAGAGGCTACAATTTGCAATGGGAACCGTTTCCTTGCACAGGGTCTTGTTTTCTAAATTCTCTTTCGTCAAAAGGTGGAGGAATGGTTCGAAGGCAACGAAATGAAAGAAAGCGTATAGAATTAAACTGACGGAGCCTGAGTTTCGTGTGGCAGAATATATGAGTGGCTGTGTATGTGGCTTTAGCTATTTATATAACCCCATTGATTAACCCCTTTCTTAGTTGACAGGTGAGATTAAAGGGGAACAAGGGAACAACGCTTCCATTATATTTGTTTCCTTGAATTCCAGATATTATAATTAATTCAATCACCGAAGAATTATGTTAATAGATAACGGTATTCCATCAAATCCAAATCAATAAAAACAACTCGATACAAATTCGTTAATCTTGAGATTCTATATTTACCTATGTAGCATTTCATTATTTGTATATTCCCAAGTGATAACTGTGATAACTTAGTAAACCATAAGCCTCGATGCAACCAAAACACAAACATCTTCACCGTATTTTTTCTTAACCACGACTTCCTTCTCCTTCTCCTCCTTCTTTCTCTCTGTTAGTTCCCTTCTATTTATTGTTATTTCTCAATCTTTTTATTGTTTTTTCCAATGTAATAACTTGATCAGTTTCCTTTTGACCTATCTTCTTTTCGAATTCCTTAAGTTTTTTCTTCAAGTTGGTAATTCGGTTATTTGTAGATTGATGATACATTTTATTCTTGTTTATATAATTTTGAATAACTTTTGTATCTTTTTTACTTTACTAAGTTTAGCAATTTTCGATTTCAATCATCACATTTTCTAGCTTTTTTTCAAATCTTTCAATTTTATTTTCTAATTTAATGATTTTATTGATTATAGTTTGTAAGTTTTTGTTTTATTTTGATTGATTTTATACAAGTAGATCAACTATATCTGTTAATGATTTTTGGAATCCTGTAATATACTTTTCCAAGCTCGCAACTTGATTTACAAAGGCTTCAAAGGCATTTATCTTTTTTGCACAAGTTTCCTCATGTTTTTTGTGCAGTGTAGTTTCTGATTCCTTGGACTTCTCGTCCAGCAAGCGCTCGAATCTTCCGTCCTTGAACCAGTGAATGACCGGTGCTGCCAATCTCCCAGTCACTTCCTTGTCTCTTTTCCGTTCACTTTCCATGTTCGCAAGCAGATTGGTCAAATTCTTTTGATCACTTTTGTGAATCCAGTTTATTCTCTATACTCACAACCAAATTAGTAAACCATTCGGTGACTTCTTTCTGCTCCTTTATCCTTTGTGCGAACCTCTCATCGATGTCTGTAAACTTCCGAGAAATGTCCATGGTGATACTTCCTGGCATTGGGACAGAATTTTCGGTTACATTGCTATACCCCTTGCCTTTATAGGATACTGGAAAACCTCGCGACTTTTCTTTCTGAAAATCCTCTGAATGAATGCGTACTACTCGCTGGCGTTTCGATCGTTGTCGTGGCTCAGCTTCTATATCCGAATCTCCATCAGATGATTCGATGAGTCTAGCTTTTTTCAACTCTCTGCGAGGTGCCTTTTCGATCTTTTGATTCCGGGTCTCAACCGGAAGGATTAACGTCATCTCCAAACCTTTGGATTCTAGCCTCAATTTGACATTGGCTCCATGGCTATAATCTTTGGTATGTTTTTTTTCATGTTTCCAATACCAGATACTTTAATAATCATAGTGAAGACACATTTTCGGTATATCAACTCCAAAACTTTATTCTCATAAGTAATAATAAATAATAAGTTGTCCAGGAAATCTTTCTCAGTTTCCTGAATCTTGATCTTGGCTTTATCCCAGGGCAAAGTTTTCAAAAGTCAGATTAATGTTTTTATTAGTAATACAAATGATTTTCGAATATATAAAAGACTTACAACTCTTTCTATATATGATAAATATATAATGACCTTTGAAGGTGCATTACTGCTTTCCAAACCGCTTGTATGACTTTGCAGTGGCTTCAAACTTGGTGAGGGACTTTCAGATAATACATATGAGTCGTCCGAAGGCAAAAAAAATTGAATCTGAGCTGTTCTTATCTGAATCCATTATATTGTTCAAATCAGGGCGACTATAATCTCTACTAATCTGAGAATCTGTATAGATTTGGTGATATTGATCAGATTTTCCTGAAAAATATCAATATAAAATAATTATTCAATTGAACACGATTTACAATATTGTTATAATTACCTGATGGTTATTTGCTATTAGTATTTGTAAATTTGATTCGATACATGTTAGTTGTCAAAGGCTGTTGTTGGTATCAACGGGAACACCTTTCAGGTCTTCGATGGTAGAAAGCTCGACGAGTATTCAGTATTGATAATATTGCAAATCTTATTGAAAGCTATTCTACATAGTGGAGACTATATGCGTATTGAGGCCCTTGCGCTAGTGCTTGCCCTAGCCCCTCACTAGTACGGCGCCGGTGCTCCGGTACAGTAGATGACTATACCGACAATAGTTATTCTAATATTAGAGTATTTATATTGCCGTTACTCTAGTTAAAGAGATACTATTTCTGAATATTATCACTTCTTTATGAATCTATATACTATAGAGGCCTATCAACAATTATTATTCTTATAAATATTCTTAAATAATTGTAACGGAATAGACGGCTCTCTTCCGTCCACTAGCTCATACTCTCTACGTAGTATGATAAGACGGTTCTCTTAGACCTTCCTTTCACAGCCTAGAGCTCTAGCTCTATAACTCTAGACCTAGGCATCGTACGATGCTTATCTCTAGTTCTCCTTTCACTCCTTTGGGCCTAGCCATTAGGGCTCCCAAAACCTGTATATATAGTCCTCCTTTTAGCACCCTACATAGCTCTTCACTTGTAGATTCTATGTACACAATCGGAGTCCTGTTTATACCCTTTTGGTCATATATTTAATTAAATAAAGAATTATTATAATTTTAAAAATTCAAAATTATTCCAGGTGGAAAAACCCTAGTTTTTTGTATTCTAAAAGTCAATTGAATATTTATATAGAAATTTAGCTTTTGAATAAATATTTTATCTTTTTAATATTATAATGATTCATTTAAATACTATGAAATAGCCGTCCACCCGCTCGTCCCTTCCTAAAACCCCCCAACTTGGAAAAGAAAAAAGCCCTTCAACTCTACTCCTCCACCTCCCAAAACAGACCCCCAACCACCAAAAAATACTGCGTCCGCCGGAAATCGAATCCGGGGCCCGTCGAATCGTAACACTGCTCTAATCCTCATTACTGGAGCTATGAATCGTATTATTGGCAACGACGGATTTTACCACTAAACCACAGACGCTAGTTGTTATTGATGAATCCAATGAATACATTTGAGTATATATTAGGATTTGAGATCAAACGTTAGGGAAGAGGTGTTTAGAAAAGGTGGAAAGTGGGGAGGTAGTGGGGTATGTGAGGGATGTGAAGAATGTGAAGAATGTGATGGTTGGGGACGGCTGATTGGTTGGTTGTACGTTATGACAACTATGTAGGGATGAGAGGGTATTGGAGGAGGAAGGAATGTATACAGTATATGGACAATGTTGGTTGAGGGAAGGAATCCGATTAGATTTCGAAAGTGACAGACTTATTTCAACCCCATCTCTATACCCTCGAGCGGAGATAACGCAGCAGCATCTGTTTGGACCCGCCTTTCAATATAAGAAACAATAACTAACTTTACTCTTCATACACTATGTAATAAATAGTCTGGGGCCGTAACTCAGTGGTAGAGTGCCTCGTTTGCAAACTCTAGATATCGCAAGATAATCTTGATAAAATTCGATGAAGTCCAGGGTTCAATCCCCTGCCGCTCCAAATAAATATTTGTTTTGCCTTTTCGAAGTCCTCATCATCTTGTGTTGACAGAAAAAGAGGGGAGCTTTGGTTTTGGGTGGTGATGATAATTTTTTCGTCGAGACGCGCTCCTCAGAATACGATGAAGATAAGATTCTTAATTTTTCTCTTAAAATCACTTTTAGAAGTTGCGTGATTGAACTGAGAAAGTAATGAGTAGCAATAGCTGATATGATAAGTGATCATAGCTAACCCCATAGAATTGTACTGACTCAAAAGCTAGTTTAACAAGAGGTTCTAACCCATGAATTTTTCTGACCCTATAAACTATAAATTACGCCCTCGAGAGATATACATGGGATAGTTTTTAACAAAAATGGTACATAAGCTTATCGTCCCCACCACCCACAACTCGATACCACAAAAGAACTAAAGTGAATCACCACCGAACATCACCACTTCTGTGATTGGACATTGGTTGATTTAATATATAACATGTGCGTATGGAAGTGGTGGGTATTGAAGAAGAGCAATGAGGAAATATCTAGCAGTGCACAAGAAGATAGAAATAGGTAGATAGTCAAAGGCAAATTAGTCAACATTGAACCCACATGTGAAATCATTTAAACCTTTCTACGTTGCAAACATCTTCCGGCAAGTCGAAAGCTAGGATTCAGCTATTGCTCAACAATGTAGGTGAAGAAGTTGTTCAGATCGGGTGAAATAGTTGTGGTAAACCTCAACCACGATTGGAAACTCCGGCATGAATAAGAGCCTCTCCAACGAAAATTTGCTCCTCATTACACCTATCAAAAAGCTCTCCAAAACCCTCCAAAAGCAAGTAAAAAAAGATCGAAAACATACAACAGTAGGGATTCGCTGGTGATCACCCACCCAACTACTAATCTACCGATCTGAGGCTTGTGTATGGCAGAGCGGACGGGATGCCCAATTCTCCTCAGTCTATGGACCAGGACCAGGTCGTATGTGTCAGGAATAGTGAAATTTGAGAATAGAATATATGCATTAGGAGTCTGGTCTGTATGGCTTGCCCATCACTATGTTATGGATGAAGCTCAACCTCGTTGATGTGAAGCCTATACAGTTACACTGTGACGTCCGTTCCCTCTCGTAGAAACCAAAGAAGGAGTTTAGATCAAGTCACTAGCTAAAAGTCGTACCATGAATTGCATACTGAGTAGATTCTCATCTCATGCTTGTGTGACGACTCTATTAGTATATGAAGATAAAAGTACTAGGAATTTATAGAGGAGATTGATCGATCTTCATTTCTACCAGCTTGAAATGGAAGGTGTTCATTCAGCTCATGGTTTTGAGACAGCATCCAGTCTCGCGGGCTGAAAAGTTTTCCTCCCTGTTGTCAAAAGGCTTTGAACTTGATGAGCACCCAAATTGATGGAACTTCTCATCTATCATTGCCTAGAAGGCACCAATGTACCACTAGACCCCTACGAAATAAGCTGAACTTCCAACTTTCCAAGAAAAGATTCGAGGTCACACAAAGGTGTAAACTCAACGTGCATAGCGTTACATCCATCGTATGAAACGGGATTATTGCCACGCTCGCTTGAGGATTGGCTGCAGGCAACGTAAATATACGATCAGGTACAACATCTAAGATGATGTTCATCTGACAATGACAATATGACTGATTTGGAATTCGATAGGGCAGATGGAATGTACAATTAAGAGGATGGACTGTGGTATCGGGTACACAAGGGTCATCATCCGTACGTTCCCGATTGTTGAAAGTACTGATTTATTGATGAATTACTTGTGAAGAATAGTAAAAACTTGGGTGAAGCCGAGGCAATTGGCAACTGGCAACTGGCAACTGGCAACTGGCAACTGTTAAAAGGAGAATTTATATTGTCCAAAACTTTGACAAAACTTCGGATGAGAAAATCAATCAATGTCCTCGTGACTATTTGCTTGCGGGAAAGGCAATCAATAATTCATAACTTATTCTGGTACTTTTGCCACGTAGGCAATTAATGATTGAGAAGTGACTTCAAATTCAAATTGTATATGAAGCTCTGATGAGAGAGGAAGGTTATATACTCGAGTAAACTCACTATTATGATAAGAAAAAAGTACCTCGACACGATTCGATTGTTACTGTCTCTCAGTTGGTAGTGATGTTGGAATCCAGCTCCTTAGATATCGGTGTGTATTACCAGATAATCGATTCATGCTGGTGTCGAGTGAGAGTAACCATATGAAAATATGAATACCTATAGACTTTCCACTCTCATTGTCATATACGGTACTTCCAATGAAGGCTCGTAACCAAGATCGATGATTACCTAGTAGTCTTGACCAGTACCGGTAGATAGAGATAGATGAATCTATTCATAGAAAAGATGTTAGGAGATCACTTTCTCCTATCATCTATTCTTCAAAGGTCTCTCTCTCTCTCTCTCTCTTATCACAAAAGCTAATCAATCTTTCGTCCCTGACTCCAATTGTGACCCATAATGCCCATTGTATTCTTTGAACATCTTGTCGATCTAGAACAATTGACACGCAATAGTTGTCCAGACCTTTATAGAAAAAACCCATATATTTCAATTTTTCATCAATTGATGAATATTATGGAGGTAGGTAGGTAGTTGTAGGTAACGGGTACCGGTAGTGTACCTATTTCGAGCTAGCTAGTAGTACCTTTTTGACCCGATGGAGTTTTGTTATTTTGCCAAGACCAAGACAGAATCAAGAAATCGCCTTGATAGAAAAGTCTTCAAATAACAATAACAATAACAATCAATAATTTCAAAAAGAAAAAGAAGAAACAAAAGACAATAAAGGAATATCGATACTCAACCAATTCCAATTGAATCACCAAACTACCAATCTTTCTCTTCAAACATCAATTAATTCCCAATTTATTTATTTCAGCAGATATACTCGTATATCCTTCTACTCTGCCCTTCAACTTCTACACTTCAACTTCTACTCTTCTTCTACCTTAATTGAGAATGTCTTGAGATCAATTGAGATTATATTTCATCATCTTCTTTCATTCTCCCATTTCTTCCATTTCCCATTTCTCATTTCCATCTTGTTACCAAATTCATCCTTTCCCAACCGACAATTCCAACCAACCGCCGCAGATACCGCTTTTTCTAGAAGTTCAAATTTATTTCCTTCCATTCCTGCGGATCATGGATGAAGCAACCGAGCTTGTAGGTGAACTCTCCAAAAAGCTTACCGAGCTTGATCATAAGGTTGATCTATATCGAAACGATATGAATAAGGAATACATCAAGTATGAAGAAGATTCATTAAGAAATGTTTCTCGGGATGTTTCCAAGGAAGTTTCAATGATGATTGCCGAATCAAAACAGAATTACAAGGCTCTTTATCCATTCGCCTCTAAAGGCAACAATAACAACAACAACAACAACAACAACAACCATAGTCCCAACAACACGATCACAAGCACACATGCAGTTGCAGATGCGAATATCAATACGAATACCAATGCAAATGTAATTACAAACGGAGTTCCCAAGGCAATGGAGTCACAATTAGGTACCGGTACCTCGGCGCCGGCAATTCCTAATCATACGAGAGAAGAAGAAAATGATCGTCCGAGAAGTCCACATGCGCGAGAGAAGGAATTTACTGGAGTTTTTACACCAAGTTATCTGCCATTGTTAGATTCAAACAGTCGATACGAGCGGAAGTCGAATTCGAATATTGAAGTTAACAATATGCCAAAAGATACAAAAATGGATACGTTGTCGCATGTGGATGCAAGTACAGACACTAGATCGTTGAATCCCTCTCCAGATCCACGAAATCCCTCAACACCCAAACGAAAAAACACTGATGAGTTATCAATTGCATCCAACAGTAGTAGCGATGGACCTCGTCGTCGAAGCGCCCTGCGAAGAACATCTAGCAACTCTAAAAATACAAGTCCTCGAAGAGTTCGTTTTGATGTGGAGGGAGAAGAGGTTTTACCAACGGCATCGCCCAAAGAGTTGGAGCCAACCCTTCCACCTTCATTTTCAGATGACTCGGATGATGAGGCTGGTTCCGAGATGGTCGAAGATATTGATGCGCCGCCGCCGCCGCCAAGAAGAATATCTTCCTCGCAAGCATTACGAGCTTTATCGAGGGGACCTCCGGAGGATGACGGAACACGATGGACCACCGTAGTTGCCCCGCCAGATGGATCGGCTTCAGTTGATACTTTGACAAACGATGATCCTACGAGTAATTACTTCGATTCTAAGCCGAATCCCGCCACATCTCGAGATGAAGATATCCCTTTAATTTACACACCAACAAAAATACCCCAAATCGAACCACAAGCTCACGTAGAGCATGTAGAGGCTCTATTGGAGGATGATGCAGATGCTCCATCGGAAGATGACATGTTGGATATGCCGCCTTTACGACAGATGAGAAGTCAGAATAAACAACCTGCGAGTATATTATCTCCGAGAAAGGATGAGAATCCAGAGCCAGCAGTTTCTCCCTTGAAGATGAAATCACCAAGCAAACCATTTTCATTCGAGACATTGGAATCTAGCAGAGAGGGTAATGAGGAGTTGACCGACTTGACATTTCAGGACGATGAGCACGAAGATTTGTTTTCTTTCGACGAGAACCCAAATCGTGGAAGCCGCCCTCGAGACGAAGAAGATGATTCGGACATAGAAGCCTCTATTTCGCCCAGTGTTGAAGAAAGTCTTGACAATCTCGAGCTTTCCAAATCTCCTGCTCGTCCGATACCTAATAGTTTCAGTACTAAGAAAGCAACAATAGCTCCAGCCCCTGCACATGGAATTGTTGGTTCTTATAAAGGTCGCCCATTTAGTATGCCGGTTGTCAACGATGAAGTGCATGCTAGTGCCGCCTCAATGGGAGTCATGAATTCATTTGTTGGAAGTGTCAATGGTCGAAGTGGACTCGACGCAAGTGATGTTTTAAGTTACCGAGCAAGTGGAGGAGGAGTGGGTAGTTTTTCAGGAACACCCAAGAGCATGAGTGAAAGGATGATGATGGAAGATTTGATGGAGACCGAGGGAGAAAATCAAAGGAATTGAGATCTGGGGATAGGGTTTCGTGAACACGGATCAGGGATTCGGAGATGATCAGAAGCATACTGGAAATTGAGACGAAGATACAGTTTGAGAAAGATGGGCTCATGGTGTGTATTTATGTGTGTACTCTTTACATTTGCATGATTTTGGCGTTTTACGGATCATCGATTACTTACGTCGTCAGAATATGACGGACGGACGAGGGATTATTACAAATGGGGACATTGGTCAGGCGGCATCTTTTTGGCACTTCTCAGCCTAGATCGGCTATTACGATCCGTGAGCTGAAGAGTTGTATGATGAAGCATAGGGCAGGCATATTCTTGCACATGAAATTATTGGAGAGGAAGATGGAAGATGGAAGATGTATGTCGAGAGGATTGGAGGGGAGTGAAGATAGATAATAGGTATGGTTGAAATAAATGGAATGGAATGAAATGCGCACTGAATGGATGACGGATGATGGATGGTGGGGATTGTATTGGATTGGATTGTATTTGATTTGGTACATTAGTTATGTGTTAGTGCTAGGTATAGGTATTTAGTTACTGACCTAGGTATGTACGTAAACGTAACTTAGGTACATACAATACGATTCAAATACTTTGTCCACAGCCACGATGTTGATCAGTTGTCTTGATTAATTGATGTGATGTGATGTGCCGGTGAATATGGTGTTGGGCTGTGTGCTGTGCTGTCGGGGATGCGGGGTTGGGGGTTGGGTCGAGTGATGGGTGGTTTGATGGGTGTGGGGAGGCGGGGGAGGGAGATAGGAGATGGGAGATGTGAGGATATAATAAGTGACGTGAGTAGTAGTATATGAGATGGGAGATATACGGGAAATGGGAGGGACAGAGTAAATGAATTGATGTTATATTTTCATTGAGTAGAGTAAGTAATAAAGTTCTGCATCTATCTGGTAAATAAATATAAAGGTATGGTGTGAATGTGTGATGAGATCGGATGATATAAGTGTAATGATTCTTGCAGGCAGCAAGTAGCAAGCAGCAGGTTCGGAAGACGGAAGATGAGGCATCCGGTTGGCTGGCTGGACTGGATTGGTTTGGTTTGGAAGGGGGAGAGAGGAGAGGGAGGGACGGCAGGGGTGAGTACCAGTATTATTACTAGGTGGTTTATAATGTGGATGTAGATGTAGATGTGGATATAGATTAACAAGTGAGGAGGTAGATACAATAGAGAGAAGAGGTAGTAAAAGGTAGAGTTGTATTTGTTGTATGAGTCTTTCCTTTTACTCGTAGATTTGATTCATTATGATTCATTATGATTCATTATGAGATGAACTGAGATATTATCACTCACATTTTAAATTACTATATTGGGATCTTGATGATGTGGTTACGGAATAATATATAATATCACATCCTTACCGGTATTACCGGTATATGGAAGGGGATACTACTACCTACCGTACCTAGGTCATTCTTAGTCTAATCGTCGCTTTTTCGACGGAGTCTACTAGAATATATCTAGGTAGATAGATTAGATGTACGAGTAGAACGAAGATTATATTCCATTCCTCTCCTTCCTTTCCTTTCCTTTCCTTCCTACTTTGTATGTTTGCATATTTACAACATGGAACTCGCATGTCATGCCGGGACTGTTTCTTTCCTTTGATGTGTTGTTATATGTACATAATTTTGCATCATGTTTTGAACCATACCGGTACTGGTACTGTACGGAGTACGGATACAAATGTCTTCTATACATCCGGATTTCATGTAGAATAATATTAATATAAAATGTTAGAATGCGAGTTCCCGATCCAATCAAAATTGTATACATACGAGTTTTCCATGTATTCTTCCACAAACAAATTGACAAACATCTACGGAGTTACGGTAATCTCAGTATCTGCTTGCATGAAAAGAATACCGGGTAAATTAGATGCCGAGTGGATATCGTGGCTTTAAAGTTTAAACATGATGATCTGCGAGAAACTGCACAAAATATCCCGAAATTGTGAGGATTAAAAATATTTTGATGCTTGACTCTTCTCCACTGCAGCATGTCAATTGTCCAATCAAATCAGTGATTCAAAGATGGCATGCACTGGATTGGAAAATGGGAGGGTTTGATTTGTTTGATTTGGATAAGTCAGATAAAAGGGTTGGGTGGTTGTGGGGTTAGGATGGATAATTATCATCTAGCTGATGAGAGGGTCAGTGTGAGGTTATGTATTAGATTGACTGGCCTGATGAGGAAGATTTTCATTGCCAGGTGGGTGACACCTCTTGTTTTGTCGATCTTTGTGAGTTTTGATTGGTTTTGGGCGGAGGATAGGAGAGAGAAGGATTTGAGACGGTGGGTATATATAAACCTTCTCGTCCTCGCAGGAGGTAGAACTTCTTGACGTTATTGTTTACTATTCCTTTCCTTGGGATTCTCATATATACCAAACCTTGAAGCAAAGGATATACGAATCCGTATCAAGCGACACCAATTGTTGGATACATATAGCTACTTGCGCCTCAGTTGATTCGAGTAACTCTTTCTTTCTTTTGGTCAAGCAACAAGTTCAGAGTCTACCTAGCTATTCAATCTCCTTCAAGATGTCTCCAACGCTTCTCGATATAAACAAAGACATGGCCATGTCACCACTCTTCCTAGGCGCTTCAGCATTCCTCCTCCTCGCCTATGTCATTCGAACTATACTTTATCGACCCCAGAAATTGGATTTTCCAACCGTGGGTAGTCCTAATGATGCTAATTTTGCAGCCGCGTTGATTGAAGGATCCTCCAAGGTAAGAATTTCCATCCGCTCACTTCCCTCCTGTCAACCAAACTAACCACAAATAGTACCCCACAACCCCGTTCATTATCCCTACCAATCCTCCAACGCTCATCATGCCCCTCGGAACCCACGAAGAAGTGCGCAATCTCCCCGAAGACAAAGTATCGTTTTCTCAGGAAGTCACCCGCATGTTCCATGGAAAATACACCGGTATCGGGAACGACTCTCCAGCCATCATCAAAACTGTCAAGACGGATTTGACACGCCACGTAGCATCTACTGTCGATGCTCTCCAAGACGAGATGCGTTATGCGCTAGACAAAGAATTCGGCACGTGCGAAGATTGGACCAAAGTGGTTTTGTATGAGAAATTACTCAAAGTGGTGGCATTATTGAGCGGGAGAGTTTTTGTAGGAAGACCACTGAGTAGAAGTGAAGCGTGGGTTAAGAGTAGTATTCAATTTACGATGGATTGTGTGATGGCGAGCGAAAGTGTAGACAAATATCCGGCGTGGGTGAGATATTTTGCGGTGTCGTTTTTACCCGAGATTAGGAGGGTGACACAACATAAAGCTGAAGCGGCAGATTTGTTGAGACCGGTTATTGAGGGGTGTATTAGGCGATTTAAGGAGGGCAAGGGAGCTGAAAGTCAAGGGGGTGATGAATTTGATGATGAACAGGGGACTTTTGTGAGTTGGATCATGAAATGGACGGATGAGAAAAACCGGGAAAATCCTTTTGTTTTGGCGGAAAATCAGTTGAACTGTAAGTCTTTCTTTTCGTTTCCCCTTTCATATATTCTCTCTCTTGCTCGAACTTTGTCGTTTGAACTTGAAACCCAATCACTGACCGAGAATCACAGTATCGTTCGCAGCAATCCACACAACAACCATGGCAACCGCTCACATGTTATTCGATCTCGCCTCCCACCCTGAATTTATCGAGCCTCTCCGCGAAGAAATCGAACAGGTAATTGCAGAAGATGGATATGATGTTGACGGCAGCGGGATGAAGAATATAAAGAAACAATCATTCCCCAAATTCAAGAAATTGGATAGTTTTTTGAAGGAAAGTCAGAGGTTTAATCCTCCGGCTTTGAGTAAGTATAACTTCCGATTTCCAATTTCTTCCTGGAGCTTCCGAATCGTAGTATACACGAAAGTGGGAAGACAAAGGAAACAACATAAATGCAGCTCTATTTACTAACCACCCCCAGTCACCAACATCCGCATAACCACCTCCCCCATCCACCTTTCCACCGGCCATAACATCCCCACCGGCACCCGCATCGCCTACAACACGCACTTCATCAACACATCCGGCCCCAACCTAACCACACTCCCACACCCCATCTCCAGCATCCCGGAACTGGACCCCCCCAAGCACATTCTCCCCTTTCCGCTACGCATCACTCCGCACCGCTCCCGGCAACGAATCCAAATACCAATTTGTGACAACGAGCAAAGAGAGCATGAATTTTGGACATGGCAACCATGCGTGTCCGGGACGGTTCTTTGCAGGCACGGAGATTAAGGTGGTGATGGTGGAGCTGTTGCGGAGGTGGGATGTCAGGTTGATAGGGGATGAGCAGGGCGTGGGTGGGGAGAGACCGGGGAATTCGGTTTATGACACTACGATTAGTCCGAATCCGTTTGCGGAGTTGGAGTTTAGGAGGAGGAGAGTGTAGAGGTATGGGGTGAAGAGTGAAGAGTGAAGAGTGAAGAGTGAAGAGTGAAGAGTGAAGGGTAAATGGGGGATATGAGGGGAAGAGGGTGGTTAGGGTGAACCAGGGGGGTGGAAGTAAATTTGATAGATTTCTAATTATCGGATTTCATGTTTTTAATTTTCTATTTTTATATACTGTATTGTCAATGATGATGATACTTGCAGCAGGATATGCTGCGCTATGCTATACTCACCAACATATTAAGACCAGAATGCATTCACCCATCACTATTTCCTCATCTTCCTCATCATCCCCAGCAAAGTCCGAACGCTGCGATGTCTTTACAGTAGTTTTAGTTTTAATTCATTAGTTCCAGTCAAAGCTATGTATATCAATATATCAGCTCGTTCGAAATTCAAGGATCAATTTCGTAAGATAAAAAAATCCGTATTTTCTTCACAAGGGATGTTATTTTTATGCTAGCTAATATTAAGTGTTTGATTGGAATAGAAAAATGCAATGTGCTTTAGATTTACGGATGAGTACTGAGTGTTACTGTTACTGTTGCATTATCTAAAATCGATCTAATGATTTGATATGCAGTACAAGTAGCATTATAGTCTGTTAGCTACGTGTACCGAGCATGTTCCAAAAAAAAGTCTAACTATTGATCAGCTACCAAACCAGGCCCCTCTCATATTGTTATTCTAAGAAGAGAATCCATATAGTTTAGAATTAAAACATTCGTGGGAATAAATACAGTATGCGCTACATCATCTTCTAAACGATCAATTCCTGATCAACCACATTACTTGCATCCATAGATTCAACATCACCCTCCGCATCACGATTAGCCTCGACCAGACCCCGGGCTACCGCGACCTCCTTTTGGATCCTGATGATTTCTTTCAATGAGCTTACTTGTTCCATGAGCGATTTCCTCGTTGCCTCTTTTGCTTTTTTGATACTGTTGCTCTCCGATGACTTGTCGCTGCCCTTTGTCGAATTCTTATTACTTTTGCCCTTACCCTTCTCATCCTTAGCCGCTTCGTCGAGTTTCTTCAATTCGCGTTCCAGACTTTCCCTTCCCTCGTTTAGCCCAACCCATTCTTCGTAGGCTTCTTTACCCCCGAAACATATGTGATAAAGTCGACAGTAGGCTAGGTGTTCGATGGGACAATCGATTGTTTTGTGCAGGAATACTTGGGTCCGTTAGTATTCCCAGTTTCGACAGATATAGGTCTCTCGTAGTGTACGTACAGTAATGCCACATATGCTCCCAAACTCTACCGGAAAGATTATCCTTCAAATCAGTTTTGAGTAACCACTCAATGTGGCGATTGTACTGTGTTCTTGGCACGGCCTGTATGACTTCTCTCACGACCACAATCTGACTACAACATGGACTCGCCAGAGATTCGGGTATGTCGTATATATCGAAGTTGGCGCGAAATGAGTCCTGCATGACCCGCTGCTCTGGTATTCCGGCAGGACTTTTCTCACCTGCAGTGGTGTTGAGGACGGTAGAGCAGCCTGTGCCCCAGGTGACGCGTAAGTTAAGGAATTTCCTCCGTTGTGCTTCTCTCAGGTTTAGGCTATTCAAGGATGATACGATGCTCTGAGAGAGTAAGCTGTCTAGGTGCCAGGACCTCTCGTGTGCATGGATCAGTATGGAGATATCTATAGCGAGATGAGCTTCATGTTGGCAGACTCGATACCAACGCGGATTCGCTAGTCTTACCGGGCAAATCATCATAGAAGTCATAAAAATATTGATGGTAAATCATGGCCTCGTGTCCCTTGTTCATCTTGGTGTGGTACGCGGCACTGTAATTATCTGCTCGGGGTCAATGCTATGAAATCAACTACTGTAGTATAAAGCAGACCTGCAATGTATGGCAAGACCTTCAGGTTGGGGACTTTGAGTTTCTTCACCCATGAATAGTCCTCCTTGGACGTCGCGGCAATAACCAAATTGATGCTTGGTGTAGGATCTTTCGGTATGCCATAAGTGCCTCCATGCTGCCTTACAATTTGTCGCTCGACACCTTCGCGAGAGACTTCACGAATTCTCCGCGTACCGAAAATACATATCAGGGCCAAAACCACAAGTGGCAGGAGAATTCTGGGAGTTCGAGACACGTCTCGCAATCTGCTTCGAATATGGTGCATAGCTGATGATCGAATCAAACGTCATGCAGTGATCGCAGACTTGATGAAGACATGGTTTTCACAGAACAGAAGATATATCATGGGAATAAGAAAGAGGAATAAGAAAGACTGCATGAAACAAGTCAATTCTATACGAGCTTGTGTTAAGTAAGGAGAGGAAAAGTGACGACGTTCAGCTGTATATATAAGCACACTCCCCGCAAATTGTAACTCTTCCAATTCCACGTGCCCTCTTCAATGCTCTTTCTTTGGATGTGATGCAAATGTATTCCAGCTACTGAGCAGGGGAGATATCAATCAGCATCCCTTCCACTCCTCAGAGCTAGGGTTTTGATAACCTGATACATTCTAGTAGCTCTCAGCATTAAATACGGCACAAAAGTGATTTAATTTTGCAGCTGAAGTGTGGCATTCTGGAATTTAACCAATAAATCATTTCAACTAGAAAAGATCTACACTAGAATCGCCCGAAATCACTTTGGATTTAAATCAAGCTCAATAATCCCAAGGGAAGGTTAAACAGAAGAACCTAAGGTGATGAAGTTCGAGATATCTTTTCTTGTGGAATATTTGTCTAAATAAACGCCTCCCCGCACAAAAGGCTGACAAGCAGCCTCGTCATCTCAGTAAGAGACAACCACAACAATATACCGGAAATGTTGTGGCATGGTGAAGTTCAACACTTCAGATGGATTCAAGAGTTCTTAAATCGAGGAATGAAATATTTCAGGAGGTAAGGATGGCATCTACTCTTCTCATCGCAATATTGACACCGTGGGATAGCTCAAACCATACTGCGTTAGCCTCAGTCAATTGGCATTGAAGAATGCTGGTGACAGCAACTCTCTAATATCATCGACGGAAAAGCTTCTTGGGGCACTGCAGCTAAGCTGCGAGAGTGAAGCTTTCGATGAGAAATTGGCAGACTGTACGTTCTTCAAATTTGGATTGTTTCGTCGACAATGACTAACAGGCAGTATGCTACCAGATGTCTTCTTTCCATTATCCCAGATCCTGCGTTCAAGACGAACATATACAGACAAATTATCAGAGCTCACCGTGAAATGTCTTAGGCTGCTATTGGAGCAGGGTTGGCGAAATTACATTGCTATAGATCTTGCCAAACAACTCTTGATCCTTCTGACCTTGATGGTTGGAGGAGTGCCAGGGCAAAATTTAAGACCAGCCCCAGAAGAACTCATCGTTGAAGCGCTTGGTGCCCTTGCGGCTTTGTTTGTCGACTTGGCGCGCACCCCCGAAGGTTCCACTACCATCACAGATGGAAGTATCATACCAGCAGTTGGACACTGCATTACAACGATACTCGATGCAATCACAGAAGGGCCATCGGCGGAAATACAAATAGAAGGCCTGAATGCTTTGAAAGCTGCATGGAACTGCATCAAAAATGTACAAGCCCATGCCAATTTCCTTCCAGGAACGGTCTCGACGCTCACGAAATGCCTCACACCTACCACAAACTCTCGAAGGTCACAGAAAACCACTGTCATGGCATTAGAAAGTCTACAGCTGGTTCTGACCACGGTCTTGAGTGATATTAGAACTCGCACCATCAGGGCAAGTGACAATATGGAGATAAAAACGGGAAATGAGGGCCAACAAGATGTGCTCACAAAATCCTGGCTCACTGCTACTACTTCTCAGATCAAACTCTCGCTTGCGAATGTCGTGAAATTACGCACACATAAATCTAACAATGTCCGGATTTCACTCAATCGATTGTGCATCGTCCTCTTAGACGAGTGTCATGATACGTTGGCTGAATCGACTTCCATACTTGTGGAAACTTGTTTATCATTAGCTAGTACAGAAGATACTGTCGAAACAGGGAGAACATCTATTATAGATCTGGCCGTCATACATTCAAACATTGGTGAGTTCATCAAAGGAACCTTTTACCACTGGGTCAACAGCTTGCCACGAGTGATGCAAATGAATGATGAGACTGCCAAGGTATCTGCACTACATCAACTTTCCGTATCCTATGGACTATTGACTACGTTGAATTTGGGCTCTTCTATGCTTGACGAAGCACTTTCAAAATCGCTACGAGACAGCCTTTCCAGTGTAATAGAAACCTCTTCATTGCCCAGGATGATGCAAGAGACTTCATTTGACCCGAATACTCAGAGTCTGATGGTTTTATCGGGCGAGAATATGCTTTTGAGAGATTTTTCACCCATACTGATGCCAGAGGAAAGTCAAAAGTCCACACGAATCGCAATGTCAACATTTTTAAGCTCATTGAGTGTATCGCAATCACGAATGAGTATGGCCAACGAGATGCTTGAGTATGTCCGACAAGCCTCTGGTCCAGGTTTACTGGCTGCCTACTGGATTTCATCCCAACTGATACAGTTTGCTTTTTCCAATAGCGAGGAAATGGATGAATTTATTGAATCGTCACTTCTCACTTCCGATGACTATCTAGCCACGAGTCAAGATTTGTATTCCTACTCGATATCAGTTTTATCCAGCGAAGGCAATAACTTGGACTGGCGAATAAGAGCCGTCGCGCTAGAGGTCGTGTCTAACTCGGCTCAGCGCCTGAAGGAAGACTTTCGAGTAGAACTTGTGGATGTACTATACCCCGTGTCGCAGCTTTTAGGTTCACCCGACCGCGGTCTAAGAGAGCGTGCGACTGTTTGTCTCAACGTACTCGCAAATGCTTGTGGGTACCCAAGTACTCGAGAACTCATCGTGGAGAACGTTGATTATATGGTGAACGCAATTTCATTGAGGTTAAATACATTTGACATATCACCTCAAGCTCCACAGGTGCTAATAATGATGATTCGACTGACGGGTCCGTCCTTACTTCTTTACCTCGATGATGTGGTATCTTCTATATTTGCCGCTTTGGACAATTTCCATGGCTACCAGGGATTGGTAGAAGGCCTATTTGCTGTGCTTGGAGAGATTGTAGAGACTGGCGCACAATCTCGCCAATTGCAACTACCTGATGTACCACTTATTGACGACACGAAAGCTAGGGCTCCCGTCATCAGACTCACTAATATTGTACAGACAATTGAGAAGCAACATCGAAGAGTTAAAGCCGAGCAAGGTACCGTACCTGATGGCTTCCCACGAGAGCCATGGAAAAACGCTTCCGCACTACTGGATGAGGCCGGTGAAAGGGGCGAAAACAACGAAGATGAATCCGGCGAAGCAACCGAGATACAAAAGGCACCACCAACAAAAACTTACGCGATGGTCCAGAGCATCATTCGACTATGCCAGCATTATCTCACAAACCCATCCCCAATTTTACGCACCCGATTACTTGGTCTAATCAGCACATCTTCCGCTGCTTTACAGAGGGACGAGGTTAGCTTCTTACCCCTTGTCAACGATATATGGCCAGTAGTCATAGACCGACTCTACGACAAGGAATCACACGTAGCCATCGCAGCCGCAGACTCCATAGCCACCATCTGCAGAAGTGCAGGCAGCTTTCTCACCACAAGAATTGCCATGCAGTGGCCTCGCCTCATGACCCTGGCTAGACAGACCAGGGCCAACATGTTGACCGAGAAGTCTGGATCTGGGAGTCGTGGAAGGTACTCGCAGGTAGCGCAGATGTGGGAGAGTATCGTGAAGCTTTTGGTAGCGATAGTGGAATGCACGGGAGTGAACGATGAAGCGTTTGATGATGTTCTGGATCTTCTGGCAAGTATGTTGCCGGACAGAAGGGATATTCGTGAGGCATTATCAGCCGTGAATCCCGATTCTATTTGGTTAGTACTGCAGGCTGGTGTGAATCGTGAATTCAAAACACCTTCACTTGATGGGTACATATTTAGGTCCCCTGGACCCTTCATAATAGTTTAGCACAATGAATCATTTCACTTTGCCAAAAGTTGCGACCCTTCATATCTTCATACTTTCTTAGACAATGACTCCGTGGACGATCAGTAAAAGAGTGGAATTTAATTATTTATCATAAGGTCAAGTGGGACTTTTGTGTTATGTGATACTAAAAAGCAAAACCGAGAAGGACAGAAGTAGCCAGCCAAAAAAAACATCTATGGAAAGTATTCGAGCTTGAACGTGATCCCATAATACTCTGATTGACGTAAAGGCCCGACAGTGATACCGTTCAGGACAAAAACTCAGAAATGAAATAAAACATCTATGCGAGCCCGTTGCGGGTCTTCTTTACCCCCTTATTCGGAGTCATCATCATCGCTCTCGGCCTCGGCTAACCAGGTCAAGAACTCCTCCGCTGACTTGCGAACCTTCTTGCTTGTGGCAAGGTCGGTGTATTTCCTGCTGGCCTTAGTGCCCCACTTGGTGATAACTTCCTCGGAGAGGATATCCTGATCGTAGAGAACCATGAGCACCTTTGATGTCTTCTCGTAGAATTCAGGTTCCTTCTGACCGCGTTGGCCGATAAACTTTTCCATTCCACCGAGAAGGGCCTTTTCATGTTTCTCGGAAGTGATTATCTGCAATAAGATTAGTATTATACACGATATTTAGGTCTAATGCATGTGGGCTTACATTTTTAAGCATGCCTGCTCGCTTTGGGATTTGCTTCACAATGTTTTCGTCGAAAAGTGTGAGAGCGAGGACGATGAGTGTGCGGTGCTTTGCCTCGATCCCGAACTCCTTCGCCTTGAGATAGATTTCAAGATCGTCTACCTTGCTGACGTCACCCTTCTCCACTGTTTGTTCTTCGATCCAGTTTGCGAGTTGATCATAGGTGGAGTTTCCCCCGCCCTCTTCCTCATCGTCCTCGTCTCCACCACCACCACCCAAGACGAGTTTTTGCTTGAGATCATCGGGAAGTTGTTGTTGGCGTGCCTTGATAGCCTCTGGGGACATATCGACAGCCCAATCATCGTCTCTGACTTCGGTAGAATGCTGGAGCTCTTCTGCTTGACGAACAAGCTCATCATCACTTGGCGCATCGAGTACCACATCGCCATTGTTGTCGTTGGATCCATTTTCAGATGCGTTTTCGCTCCCACTAGCATTTCCATTTTCTTTAGACTCGCCCTTGTCAGCCTTGGCCTTACGAGCCGCTTTCTTTTCTGCTTTATCTTTCTTGCTTTTCTTGGAAGGTTGATTCTTCATTATGAAGCCGCTCAACTTAAGTCTGGGGTCGACCATGGATCGCTTTCCGCATGCCTTACAATCCAATAAGATATTGCCCTCCTTGAAGATCACTTCGGTTTCGGGGTTCTTGCACTCCTTGCAGAGCACGAACTTGTTGATGAAGCCATCTAAATAATCCTGCAACTTACTTGCCTCATGGGCACCATTGATGATCCAACGATCATCAGCAGGATTGTTGTTGGTCTGAGCCCCGAGTTCGAAGCCGAAGTATTTGATAACATATGCTCCTGGGCGGGCCAGCGAATTGGCAATGCTGGTGAGGTTGACAATGACGGTCTTAATACCGTTGCCCTTTCCCTCGATCTTAGACTGGATTCTCTCCATCTTGTATCTGTAAAAGTTGTCCTTGACATCGCGACGGATATTGACGGTAGCCATGTTTGCTGATAGATAAATTGAGTCGAAATATGTATTTTCGTGAAAGTTAAGGCGTGCAGGTATTTGTTAAATAATCTGATAATCTGAAATATAGCATGCAGAAAAGTTTGACTTCCTGAAGGGGCAAAGGCAGTCGAGGTTGATGAAATTTGCTTGGTAGTTATGGGAACATTCGAATCGTAGAGGGAAATACTTAGCCGTTGGAGCTGGAGTAAGAACTACAAGGTTTCCGCGGTATGCGAAATGGTTGCAGCTCGAGAGGCGGCTGATGTCTGAGGTCGTTGGCGTTGGGTGCGAGATACATATAACGCAGATGTATCACTGTACGTGCTGATAGCTTTGGTTGAAGATTTTAGAGAGAAGAACGTCCTTGTCTTTCAAAAATCGAAGGCTGATATTTGAAATATGTAGGTAGTCGAGGTTCTCTTCGGTATGAAGTCTAGAGGTTGGATATTCGACAGGTGGAAAAGCGAAAAGCAAAAGGTTCTGCTTAGTATGCTCTGTTGTTTTGATTCTGAAGATTTTGGAAAAATGGAACCGTAGAATAGTGGCTCGTTTGAATTTATTTATTGGTTTGAAAGGATTCTCAATACAGTAAGTATTATTGTATTGTGTTGTTGTTGTATTGTATTGTTCAACCGATGGATTTTTTGTTTGTTATTGTTTTTGTTTGGGAAAGAAAGAGGGAAGAAGGGAAGAGGGAATAAGGAAGAAGGTTTAAAAGAATTTGTGAATAAAAAAAGGTTTCGGATATAGTCGGTGGGTGGGTGGTGGAAAACTAGCCCTGCTAAAATATAAAATGGAGCTAGAGGAAGGAAGGGTACTGGCACCATAAAACAACCACCAAATGCATATATACACACAGCAATCGAAGATATTCTATATACTAGAACTTGACTAAATTGGTAACCAATAGGTAAAAATATATTCTATATAACAATTTACAATTTACTAAATTAATAAATACTAAAGTTAATACTAAAGTAAATAGAATTAATAGTTGTTTATATATAAACATTAATTTAACTAAAAATTAATATTTTAAACCAAGTTATAAATGAAAATTGATAGTAATTAATAAATATAATCATTATATTTAATATTAGTATTATATTCTAATATCCGCAAAATATTTTGAGCCCCGGAAAATCACGGATTTAATAAACTCTATAGATAGTATCGATATTATATCGATAATACTCAATATAAATTATTTCGATACTAATTGCTTACAAATCGATATTAATAGAATTTATATGAAATATTGAAATAATATCAAATAGTATTAATAGAATTTATATAGAATATCGAATCGATATCAATAGTACTAAAATTATATCAAAAGAACTTATATAAGATACTAAATCGATATTATTAATATCTGTCGGAATATAGATTATACGATACTAGCGTATACGCTAGTATGCTTATAAGGGCTCTCTCTTCTATAGCTTTTTATAAGAGAGTTCGTTAATTAATAAGAGTAACTATAAGAATAGTCATTATTGATCCGAAC